TTTTTATATATTTTATATATTTATATATATCATATATATGTATATATGAAAAATATATCAAAAATGCATATGGGTACTCAAATGAAAGCTCTTGATGAGTGTAACATCAGGATGAGCTTATGTTTTTAAAAACATCAATAGTTAAAAAGTTACAGTGCAATTTAACAAAAGTCATTATTTAATATAATTAAAAAAACTAATATAAAATTAAAAATTGATTAAAAACTTACCCAGACCCTCTTGGAGTATAAGATTCCGCTAGTAAATATTTCAATCGTGACACTGCTTCTCTATAAGCTGTTTCAGTATAATCAGGAATTTTTTTCTTCATGGTATCCATTTTTTGAAATGAATTTAATTTCCTAAAAAAAGAAATTAAATCAACATTTAATTTAAAAGAAAGAAATATCTAGTTAATAATTATTGATTGACAATAGAGCTTACTTGAGTTTGAAACGTTTAGGCCTTCCAAAGGGAGCATTTTCGATGTGTGTGAAGCTACAATTGCTCTTGGGCTTGTTATAGGTAGACCTTAGAGGTAACTTTGGTCTCAGCAAATAACTTCCAGGATTTTGGATGACTGAGGAGGGTAGACCTGCCCGACATCGTCGAGAATAGCTGTTGGCTGGTAGCATTCCGTTCTCATAATGGCATCCCCGGTGAGGAGAGCTTTAGATATAAGCTCGCTGGTTATAGTCCAATCGATTATGATGGAACAGTAGAGCACACGAGCAATGTAAAATCTTCCAGCACTACTTGGGAGGGCTTGTAAGCTAAGTAAATTGAACTTTTGCTCAACAGGACGAAACCAGAGACTGGCACCAGTTGAGGATAGCGTGCGCAAAGTCATCCGTACTTAGGAGAGACAGGCACCGTCGCTATCACGCTATTATCATACTTCAGCTATTAAATTTTTATTCTTAATCTTATTTTGTATGACTTTTTTTACTGACCCGGCATACATTTAATTTTTTTTCTTTACAATTTTTTTTTTCTTTAATTACAATTTTTAAATTAAAAGTTGTGATTAAAAATACACTTTAATTGCGTTAGTGGATCAAGAAGATAATTAAAAATTTTTTTATAATTATAATATTAAAAAAAAATTTTTTTAATATAATATAAAAAAAATTAATGTTTAAAAAAATTTTTTTTTAAGTGAATTATAATTATAAAAAATAAATCTTGTCTTAATAAAATGTCTAAGCAAAATTTATTTTATCAAAACCTCACAGCATTATTTTATTATATAATTTAATTTAGTAATAAAATAATTAATATTTATAAATTTAAATATATTAATTTTCATTTGATCTCATAAATAATACCAATTAATTCAATAAAATAATTTACCTAAAAAATCAATAAGTACAATTTTTATACATATTATTATGTATTATCAACAATGACTCGCGAGTCAGCTTCACTGGGTTCGAATGTTTCTTCTGATTGAATATTCCGATACTGTCTTCCATCTGAAGAAATATTAAGTTAAAAATAATATCAATTAGCTTAAAATTAATGTCCTTATTGACTCAAATAAATATTAAAATTTTTTTAAGATATATTTTTTATAAAAATTAATTTTAGTTGCTTCAACAAGGACACTTATGTAATTTAAAAAATTAAAAAAAAAATTACCGTCAATTTGACTCCTTATAGATCTAATAGACAACAACATTAAAAGTCCTATAATCGCAGATCCACCACAGACTAAACTTAATACGTCTCGATAATAATTGGGCGTATTTATTTTATGTATTCTAAAAAAAAAAAAAAAAACAATTTATTGAATGTTAACAAAATTTAGATAATCAAAATTTATAATTAAATAAAAAATCAGTTATATTATATGAAAATTAACGATCTAACAATTTTTTTAATATTTACAATAATTAAATTATCATGAAAAAAAAAAATTAATATAAAAAATGACAAGTGTGAATTTTAAAAAATATTGTTTTTTTATCATATTTTATTTGTTATAAAAATTGAAAGATGTCTGCTGATTTTAGTATCATTAATAATTAATTAAAATTAGCTATTAACTATAGCTAGCTTACGTGTATTGAATTGCCATAACAACGAATCCATTACTGAGTTTATCAGTAAAACTCATAGCACCATAAACAAAGGCTCCACTTTCAGTGTTTGGTCCAATTAAATCTGCAGTCACTCCAAGACTCGTCACTAACATAATAGACCCACTTGAACCTGAAAATAAGTTTATCATAAATCTTTAATAAAATAAAATGACAATAAAATAAAATTAGCTTACCTAGAAGTAAGGATACAGGATAAATATATAATCTAACAAAATTTGGTCCTTGACCAAACCATATCCACACGCAAGCACAGATTCCCATCAATACTCCCAGAGCATAAGAATTCTTTCGACCAAACTTAGTGTTAATTTTTTCTATTATCAGAGATACTTTAAAACTACTGAGGTACATTATCAAGGGTATTATTGCCAAAGACGTCGCAGGCATTTTTAAAGTATCATGTAAGTACAGAGGTACGTAAATTTGTGATATATTTACGAAAAGTCTTGTAGTCATATACACGACAGCTACTTGATAAAATTTTATGTCTCTTAAAAATGATGATGCAGGTCTTAGATTTCTTCTTATTGGACCTTGAATAAATTTATTCTTATTATTATATTTTTATAAGATTATTATTATAATTTATAAGCAATAATAATAATAATAATAATAATAATAAAATCAAAATTTTTAAGAAAATTTTATTACCAGTAGAATCATGAGGAGTTTCTTGGATTATTGAATGGAAAGTAATTGAAGCTATAATACCAACAGCCATTCCAATTAGAACAATATGTTGGAATTTATAGACATCTTTTGGGCCAATTTGATTGCTTAAATCATCACTAGAAATATGTAATACTGCCCAAGTTATTCCGTAGACAAAAACGTTTGAAAAAACAGTAAATGTATATCTATAAAAAAAATAATAATAATAATAATGAGCAATTAAAATGACTCATTAATTGAAGCTATCATAAAATTATCTCTTGAATATGAAAATAAGAATTCAAATTTTTTTTCCGAAGTATAATAACCGCAATGAATACAATAGAATAATTGAATAATTTTTTCCTTATTACTAATTCCGTATTACCTAATTGCCGTAAGCTCTGTTCTTTCGTGTTCAGTGGGTGTCAAATCGGGAATCATTGATAAATGTGAAATTTGTACAGCTGCCCAGCCAAACTGGAAAATTATGATAAAAGATGAGTAATAGATTATTTGTGCCCACTGATCAGCTTGGTAACAATTTATGCAGCGTGAAAATATAAATGGAAAACTGAACACCACACATATTGTTCCTGAAAATTAAATAATTGTATTAATTAGGGTAAAAATAATGAAAATTAATTGAGCAGATATTTTATAATTTTAAGAATTTTTTTACCACAAATAAATTATGTCAAAAAAAAATACCTAGACATTTAAAAAATAAAAAATGCAATTTTTTAGAAATAATTTTTTGGAGCAAATTTATTTATTTGATAAATAAAAAAAAAAATTACCTATCAAATGCCAAGTTTTTCTTCGACCATATCTACACAACCAGAAGTCGTCATTTTTATCTGACTGTAGTCCAATAAACGGCGTAGAAACTGCATCCGCAATTTGACCAATTAATAAAACTACTCCTGATAAAATTGGATTGAATCCCAGGACAAAATGAAAAAATACAATCAAGTAGGTGAACCACATAGAAGCACAGACATCGTTGAGGACGTGTCCAACTCCATATGCCCATTTCTGCTTTCTTGACAACCTTTGAACTATTTCCGTGTAATCATGTTCAACTGAGTTTGTACTTTGATTATCCATTTATATATATATATATATATATATATATATATATATTTAATTTATAAATATTTACAAATTTATTTTTAATATATATTTATTTACTGGATTTTAGCTTTAACCTCAAAATTGCGTTTTATTACATGTTAATAAAAAAATATATATTTGTGTAGATATTTTTAGTTTTTATTTTTAAATAAAAAAACTATTATTTAAAAATAATCATTTTTGATTATTGTTTTAAACAATCACTAAAATATAATGAAATTCGATGCAGCTCCTCTGTTATGACAAGTCAACTGTCACATTTGTTTTGTACTGGCACTGAACAGCTGTTAGGAAAACTCCTCTCTGGTGATATCACGTACAAGTTTATGATCAGAGACTCAATTTTCTATTATTGTTATTGTTATTATTATTATTATCATTTAATGAACTTGTGACTCACTATGAACTTCGTAGCAAGTGTATAAAAAAACTATATAATTTATTTATCTCAAAATTCAAGTTAATAAAAAAATTTTAGACATTATCCAGATAAGAATTATAATAAAAATAAAATTAGCAGACCTCAGACAATTTTTAGAATTTTTTTGATTAATAAAATTATTATAAAAATATAAAAAAAAAAAATTCCACATGTAAAAATTATAAGTCTAATTTTTTGTAAGTATTTTTTGAGTTCTAATTTAATTAGTGACCAAAATAAAAAAATTTTTAGTACTTAGCCCGACATTTAAAAAATTTAAGAATTTTTTTTCATTGAAAAAATTAAAAAAAAAATTTCATTGGTAAAAAACTTGAAAAACTGTAAGTGGAATTTTTAAAAAATAGTTTTTTTTTTGCTCTAATTTAATTATTGAAAAAAAAAAAATCAAAAATGTCGGCTAACTTTAGTGTTATAAATTAATTTAGCATTTATTTAAAAATTTTAAGAATTTTATAACGTATGGCAAAAAAAAATTATAAAAAAAATTCACACGTAGAAATTTTAAAACGTAAAAAAATGCAATTTTTTAAAAATTACTTTTTGTTAAAAAAATTAAAAATAAAATTAAGTTGCTAACTTTTAATGTCATTCAAGAAGTATGTATATTTATTACAAATTTTAAAAAATTCTCTACATGCATTTCTTCATCATGAAAATTAAGTTAGCCGACATTTAAAAATTAAAAAAAATTTTTTATTGAAAAAATGACTACAAAAAAAAATTGTCAATTGTTATAAAAACTTGAAAAACTGTAAGCGCAATTTAAAAAAAAAATATTTTTTTGTTGTAATTTAATTATTAAAAAAAAAAATTAAAAACCTCGGCTAACTTTAGTATCATTTCTTCATCTAAATGTTATATATTTTAAAGAGGAGTAAAAAAAATAAATTAAATAAACAAAAACAATTATTTTTAAACACTCTTTTTATTACAAACTTATTTTCAATATAAAAAAAGTTTACATCAGTTCAAGATCGACTTTACTTTTATTTTTAACCTCTTAAATTACTAAATATAATAATAATATTTTAAATATATAGTAATACAACTAAAGTGAACATGAATGATTTAATTTACATTAAATGCAAAATAAAGAAAAATGAAAAAATAATAATAATGAAATTATAAATGAAAACTTAAGTATTTAAGCAGCCTTGACAGTTTTAGAAGCTTTGTCCTGAGCCCGAGTGGCATGAGTTTTACCAGGACTTGAAGACTCCTTGGACCCAGAAGCTTCAGCTTTGGCTTCAGTGGTGATAGCTGGTTGTCCCGTATGAGTGATAGGAATAACTCGTTCATTTTTATCCTCCAGAGCCTTCTTACGGGGAGCGACGATGCTCAAGACTCCATCAGAAGACAGATGAGACTGAAGCTGCTCCAAGTCGCACTGTTCTGGCACCAAGTACTTGCGACAGAACTGCCGAGAGATCCAGCCGTGCTCATCCTGCTTCTCCTCGTGTTTACCCTCGACGATGACGTGACGTCCGACTACTTTAACGTTGATCTCCTCTGGAGTGAACTGCTGGACGTCCAAGTTGACTTGGAATTTGTTTTTGTCTGCTTGCAGGACTGATGAGCCGCCGGATCTGCGGGCGATGGTCTTCTCGTACGGGTGGTAGTTGTGGTGAAGATGACGTCTAGGATTGCGAAGCACCATGATGCTCGGTTCATCGTCGTAGACGCGAGTCAGGTCTTGGGGACTCAGTGATGTACCAAAGTGTTGGTCGAACAGACGATGAGGACGGTCCAAGTCTTCCCACCAGTGAGAAAATAGAGTTGGTAATAATGACATCTTGGTTTTTTATTATTCACTTATATTACACTTTATATAAAAAAAAAACAAATTTATTAGATCACTTAACTTGGGTTTAGTACACGTAAAACGTAAGATAACGCTTGAGCTTAGGTATATACGTTAAGATACTTATTGATTTTTTGTTTTCAGACTGATGGCGGATGCCCGCGCGCCGGTTTTATATATTCGCTCACTCTTCACTGAGAGGGGGGAATTAACGCTCGAGAGTTTTCGAGAATGTTAACGTTCGAGATGCTTCTGGCCGTTACTTGAAACATTATATTTTTTTTATTAGCTTTATTATAAGTCATTTAAATTTAATTAATTTATTTATTTTACTTATTTAATTAGAGATATTAAAATTAACAGATTTAATTATTTAAAAATTTTTTGACAGGGCATGTTAAGAAAAAAAAATTTTTATCTAGAAATTGTAAAAAACTTGTTGTATAGAGCGAAAAAAAAAATAATCATCATTATTAATGGTTAGAAAATATTTATGACATAAAAAGTTGTCAACTGACCAATTTTCAATTTTATTTAACAATTGTTAAATTAATTATAAAAAATTGCATTTTTTATTTTTTTAAATTTTTAGATGTCAATTTTTTTTTTTGCCACAATTTATTTGTTAACAAAAGTTCTAAAAATTATCAAATATCTGCTAAATTAATTTTCACAAAATATTTTTAAGAAATTATTACCTTTTAAAATTTTTGTAATTACTATCAGTTGAATGTCTTTATTGATAATTGATAATAAAATAAACTCTTATAAATTTATTTCATTAAAAAACAAATAATTGATTTTTAATAAAAATAATGTAAATAACAATAAATCGGTGGTGTGTTTTGTATAAGCACGACGTATTTAGCTTGTAGACAACTCGAGAAATTTATAGACAAATCATTAGAAAATTAAAATTGGTCCTAATTTATTAAATTTTAATTACAAAACAAATTTTAAAATATAAATTTCTCAAATTATGATTATTATTTTTAATTTGTAGAAAAACAATGACATAATCGAACATAAGTACATACTTTTCTTTCTGGCAATTATTTGAATTATTATTATTTTTTTATACATCACATAGGCTTTGTTTACAAAGTTATTTCCAAATTCCTCTGACAGGTGGCGCGTAACTAACCTAAAAGCGCTTGCGTGAGAATTTTAAATCAAATTTATTATATCAACAAGAAACTATACTCATTATTCTTGACACTTGAAGAATAAATAAACAAACTAACTATACTCTTAATTTAACATTATTAATAATAATATTCAACATTCTCATACATCATGTAAGTACTTAAATCACTCAGAAAAATTCAAGAAATTAAACTAATTTTTTTAAAACTTGAATTACTATACTTTTTTTAAAACACAATTAAAAATTTTTAAAGGTCATTTGTTTAAAGTGAAGTCATCAGACATTAAATTATTTTTAATACATTAAATTATTAATTTTTTTAATAATATAAAAAACAAAAAACAATCATCTGATTTTTAGTGACATTTTTAGTATCAATAATAATTAAATAATTATCATTAACCATAACCAAATAAATCCAATTATCCAACAAAAGTAATAATCATAAAAATATTCTTAGCAAAATTTTACTAATATAAAATTAATTATTCTATTCCTAAAATTATATTGTTCTTTTTAAACACAATACATAAAACTAAATTTTGCTTGATGACAGATAAAGATAAAGCTTATTTTTACAATTGTCATAACAAAAGAAAAGACCCTGCAATTAGTACCTGACCGTACTGTTAAAAATTTAAAGAGCGTCTCTTCTATTCTCAAAATATATACTTTATAATTAATGACAGCTATACTTTTAGCCAGACGAGTTTGAGTCTGTACCTGAAAAGTCCCAAAAATAATTTAAGCATTACAGACTGTACCTAGAATAATAAGTAAAGTTCCCCACTCAGAGTAACAATAAGTTAGTCTGCAACAAACACGTGCTTGAGGTTTAACAGCAGACCGTATTTCAGTCTGTTCTAGTCAGTCATTTAGTGTGCATCACCAGAGCGTTATATTTGTTACAATTGTAATAAAAACCTAAAAAAAAAAAAAATCAGTTTCCAAAAAAATGTCCCGGAAACTAGAAGATACCGACTTTCAGTTCGCGGTCCCGAGTGGTGTGCCAAAAAGAAGAAAAGTTGAAGTTAAAAATAGTGATTTAAATAACAAATTGACTCCACTGTCCAGGTCATCGAGTTTCTCCTTCAAGACTCCAAGAAATAATGAAAATCTGGACTCAGCATTTCAATCCGTTGCTACAGAGTCAAGTTCTAAAAAATCAAAGTCTAATTCAATGCCGAGGATGTCTTCTTTTCTGCTGAAGGATACAAGACCACACAGAAACAGAAAGTCTCATTCTCTGAAGAAGATCTCGGCGTTTACTGAATCCTGGGCGAAGCTCGGGTCTTCGGACTCTAAGAACAAGTCTAGAAATTATAGCAAAAATTTGGATGATAAATTTACAAGTAATTTACTTTTTGATAAAGATTATCGTGAATTTATTGCTCCTTTGGTTGGTGATGCTGCTGGAGATAAAGTTGACCTGGATGTTGCGCCTCCAGTTGGTGATTCATTTGATCAAGATGATGGTATTAAGAGTAGCAAGGATTCTGTTGACCTGGACATTACTCCGCCAGTTGGTGACTTGTTTGATGATGAAGATGATGAAGATGATGGTAAGGATAAAGACTCTATTGACCTGGATATTACTCCTCCTGTTGGAGATTTATTTGATGATGAAGATGATGATGATTGTAAAAAGGAAGAAGAAGAAGAAGAAGAAGAAGTTGACTTGGATAAAACGCCCCCGGTTGGAGATTTGTTCACTGATTATAATAATAATGATGATGATGATGATGATGCTGATAACCCAGCAGACTCGGAAGATCTTCAAGACATCACTCCGCCTGTAAGTCCCTCACTAAATTTCGAAGAAGATGATGTTCCCGTTTTTGACACCTGGAAAATAACAACCTCCGATGGAGTTATCCTCCAAACTGGTGACGACGATCAGGACAACCCCCGAGCATCAGTTGGAGCCTCAAGAGTCTTTCATGTATTACCTGGAGATGATCAAGTGCAGTTGACGTTGACTATTTAATTAAATTTAACTAATTTTAGTTAGTATGATTAGAGAAAATTTTTTATTGTAAATAGTTTAATCTTTAAATAAGATTTTAGTTTTTTATTTCATAGCTGTCAGCAATATTTAATTTAAACAAATAATTTTCTTTTTGTTAATTTAAATTAATGGATTTTTTATTACTTATGGGATATTTAAAATTGTAAACTTTGATATTTACAAAATTCAGAACTATTTTGTATATATAATTGAATAAATTATTATAGTTAGCATTATATATATATGTAGTTGTGTAATTAATCCTGTTGTATTATGTAGAGTTAATTAGTCCTGTAGTTTACTATTATAATTTAATCTTATTGAGTAATATAACTCAATTAATTAGTTTGTACTATTTTTAGCTATTAATAGCGAATTTTATTCAAATTTTTTGTTTAATTTTAGATTGAAAATTTGAATAAAAATTTCACTTACCTTGATTATTCTTAATAAAATTAATTTAAAGACCCAGTTATTGATATGTGCAATTTTATTCTAATTAAAAAAATTAAATCTCAAAATTTATATTTATTAATTTACTAGCAACCTTGTAGTCTATGTGACTGCAGTGACTTGTGAACTTTAAATAAACAACAATTTTGTTTAATTAAGTAATGATTTTTGTTAAATTGCACTGTATTTTCTTGATTGTTGACACTTGTAAAGATATAAGTTCATTCCGATGTTACACTCATCAAGAGCTTTCATTTGAGTACCCACATGCATTTTCATATATTTTTCATATATAGATATATATATAAAATATATGAAAAATTGATGTGGGTACTCAAATGAAAGGTCTTGATGAGCGTAATGTCAGGGTGAGTTTATATCTTTAAAAATATCATTAATTGACAAGATAGCAATGTCAGTTCTTAATTATTGACATTTTTACAGATATAAGCTCATCCCGATGTTACACTAATCGAGACCTTTCATTTGAGTACCCACATGGTATTTTTTATATATTTTATATATATGGTATTTGTGAAATATATAAGTATATAAAATATATGAAAAATTGATGTGGGTACTCAAATGAAAGGTCTCGATGAATGTAACATTGGGATGAGCTTATATCTTTAAAAATGTCAATAGTTCTCAAGATACAAGGTCATTTCTTAATTATGTATCTAGAGATAAATAATTTTCGAATGCAACCTAAATACATATCCTAATAAATTGGCTATCGGTAAAAATAATATGAAACCTTGAAAAAACACAAATTCAGATCAAGACCTTTGCAATGACACTAAATTTCACTAACAAAACCGATTTTATCATATGACTATCCTGGAGACAAAATTTTTCTTATTATCTCAATAATATAGATTAGTTAATTTATTTTTTTTTTTTAAATAAAATAAAATTGCCTTACTCTATCTTATAAATAAACTTATAATTAAATTTATAAATAACTTATAAATTAATTGACAAGATAGCAATGTCAGTTCTTAATTATTGACATTTTTACAGATATAAGCTCATCCCGATGTTACACTAATCGAGACCTTTCATTTGAGTACCACATGGTATTTTTATTATATTTTATATATATGGTATTTGTGAATATATAAGTATATAAAATATATGAAAAATTGATGTGGGTACTCAAATGAAAGGTCTCGATGAATGTAACATTGGGATGAGCTTATATCTTTAAAAATGTCAATAGTTCTCAAGATACAAGGTCATTTCTTAATTATGTATCTAGAGATAAATAATTTTCGAATGCAACCTAAATACATATCCTAATAAATTGGCTATCGGTAAAAATAATATGAAACCTTGAAAAAACACAAATTCAGATCAAGACCTTTGCAATGACACTAAATTTCACTAACAAAACCGATTTTATCATATGACTATCCTGGAGACTAAAATTTTTCTTATTATCTCAATAATATAGATTAGTTAATTTATTTTTTTTTTTTAAATAAAATAAAATTGCCTTACTCTATCTTATAAATAAACTTATAATTAAATTTATAAATAACTTATAATTAAAAGGAAAGGTAAGTAATAAAATAAATTAAAATTAACTTGCAATTATTTTTTTCTCTTTATTTTATTCTAAACTTTGAAATGTTTCACTTACATATTTTTACAAAAAAATGAGTGTTTCAAAGACTAGTTACATTTTAATGAGACGTAGAATTTACAAGTAAAAAAAATGACTCAGACTTTTCAATAATAACAAAAGTTTCTTACATATGATTATAATTAATCAATAATTAAATAATTAAGTAGATAATTTAAATTTACTGTTTGGCAGCGACTTTCTTTTGTTCCTGATGTTCGATAGAAGGTTTCCCAGTGTGTTCAATCTTGATGGGTATCTCCTTCTTGTCCTCGATGGCTTCAGGCTTCCTGGGAGCAGTGATGGTGAGCACTCCGTCCGTGGAGAGCGCACTGGTAGCCTTCTCCGGGTCGCATTGCTCCGGAATCATGTACTTCCTGACAAACTGTCTGGACACGATTCCATGGTCGTCTCGCTTCTCCTCGTGTTTGCCCTCGACGACGATGAAGTTGTCCCGAATCTTGACGTTGATCTCCTCGGGCTTGAACTGCTCGACGTCCAAGGCCACTTGGAACTTGTCTTTGTCGGCTTTTATGGTGGAGGCTCCTTTGCCATCTTCTCTCATCAAGTCAGCCCAAGGTCTGTAGTACGCTGATGGAAATCTTCTCTCCATCTCGCGGAAATTCCGCTCCATGTCACGGAACATTTGGTCAGGATTCCAGGGCACTCCGAAGTGTTGGTTCACCAGATGGTGAGGACGCTCCAAAGTTTCCCACCAGTGGGAAAATAACTTCGGTACGAGAGACATTCTTGATCTCATTTACAAAAAAAAATACTTTTTATATTTTTATTTAGAAGTTTATTCGTTGCTTTCTATTTTTCGACTGACACTAGCCGCGCGGTCTCGCGCTTATATACTCTCCGCAAACGTCAGACTGACATCTACTCGACGTTTCGAGGACGTTCTATTGAATTTCAATTGTAATAATTGTTTTTTTTTTTTAATTTTCCTAAAATAAATTATTTAATAATTAATTTATTTTTTATAAATAATATTATTAAAAAATTTTACCTTTTTATTCATTTTATTAATCAATTGATTAGAATATGCGCCACTTCCTTGAAGTTTCTCCAGTATTCTACGCAGTAAAAAAATAGAAGCTCAATAAATATCTATTGTTTTTTTTTTTTTTTTTATTTTAATTTTCAAAAATATTTCAAGTAAAATTAAAATAAATATTTGCAGTAAAAATACCTTTTCAAATCGACGGGTGCTACCATTAAACTGCAGTGTAAATGCACTCAATTAAACCTGACGTAACTCTATTTACGTTTTATTAAACGTTATCAATAAAATTAAATTTACTCTTTATTTTTCTGATAAAAACGCCTCAAATAATTATTAGATAGCAGCGAGAAAAATCTCGAATTTACGCTAAATTATTTTACATATTTTATGATCAATATATAGGTCAATACATTACTAATTTTTTTTTTTATTTATACTCCAATTGTGAATGTTTATTTTTAGATTTAGATTTAATTTAATTAATCAATAATTTATTAATTAAATTTGATTAAAAAATTATTCGATACAAATGATTAATTATTATTATTCATTTAAAAATATTTAATTAAAAAATCATTCCATGTTTAGACAAAAATAAAATTTTTTTTTATACTATTTAAATTGAAATTATTGAAAATATTAAAATTACATGCAAGCATAAATAAAAAAATTTTGACATTAAATAATTATGTAATAAAATTGCAAGATCAAGTTCATTGATAATTTTAAGTAATAACTATTTTACTTTCACTTCCATTCATAATTTTTTTCCTCAGACAAACATTCTGATTCACTCTCTGAAATATCACAATGCATAATCTGTTATTATGCGCTACTAATTTTAGCAACAAAAGTCATTTTTTATTTATAAATCAGTTAAACAATATTCATTTTTAGATCCACCAAAAATTGGTCTAAGTATAAAAAAAAATATTTTTAATGTCTGAAAATAAAAAAGAAACCATGTTGTTTTATTAAATAAAATATATGACATTAAAGTTAGCATCAGTCACTAGAGAATTTTTTAATTTTAACAAAAAAATTTGTTCCAAAAAATTATTTTTTAAAAATTTGCATTTTTGTCAATTTTTATTCGGTCATAATTTATTTGTTAATAAAAATTCTAAAAATTATTAAAAATCCGCTAAATTTATTATCATATAAAATATAAATAAATTAAAATCATTTACCTTCCTTTTGTTCATGAATTCATTTTTTTTTAACAAAAAAAAAAAGTTATGGTTCCCTCTAGAAACATCTCGAACAAAAAAATACCTAGTACATTTTTGTGTATTATTTTGTTGACACTCCGATCGATACTGCGCATCAGTAACTAATTTCCACAATTTTTATACATAATTCCTCTGAAAATTATAAATAATATTGAATTTAATAATAAATAAAAAAAATATTAATTATTAAAAAAAAATTAAAAAAATATTATAATATATAATTTAATAAAGAACAAAGAGAACGTTGTAGAAAATTCAAGAATTATTGAGAACAGTCGCCGGCCGGCGTTTCAGCGCCACCTAACACATAAAAAGCCAGTCCGCGGTTGCTAACGCATCAGTCTAAAGCAAAAACTCAACCGAGAAACAACTTTGACAAGTTACTAAAGTATTTCTTTGTAATTATTTATTACAAAAGATTTATCAAGTGATTATTAATTAATTTAACTAAAAAAAAAACATCAAGATGTCACTTTTACCATTATTGTACTCAAACTGGTGGGAAGACTTGGAAACGCCGCACAGTTTGTTTGACCAGGACTTCGGTCTGGGACTACACCCGGCAGTGACGGCTCCAAAGAGTGTCAGCCTCTACCTGACAAAACCAAAGACTCAGTCAAGACGTCCAGTGGACTACATCCGACCTTGGAGTGAACTTCTTCGTCAAGGCCATGGCGGAGCTTCAACTGTCAAAGCCGACAAGGACAGCTTCCATGTTTCATTAGACGTCCAGCAATTTACACCAGAGGAGATTAATGTGAAAGTGGTCGACCGCTCGGTCGTCGTCGAGGGAAAACACGAGGAGAAGCAGGATGAACATGGCTTCATCTCGCGTCAGTTCACCAGGCGCTACCTCATCCCCGAGCAGTGCGATATTGATCATGTGTCATCCAAGCTGTCTTCAGACGGAGTGCTTACCATCACTGTCCCACGCAAAGAACAGCCGAAGGTCGAAGGCGAGAGGAAGATCAACATCGAGCACACCGGCAAGCCGGCGATTCGTGAGGCTGCGCCCGCAGAGGCTAAAGTTAAGAAAGCTGAGGCTTAAATATTTTTTTTTATTATTATTATTAACTAAGAAGACTCACTATCATTAATGTTACTTCATTTTTTTATTAAATTTAACTTCATTGCATTTAATTATAAAATTTAATTATTACTGTTTAATAAAGACATTAGTAAGGATGTAAGCACTCTAGTCTCTTACTACACTGTGGTTATGTATTCTCGAGAATTTTTTTTATAAAAGTAAATAAAAAAAAAAACACTCATGAGTCAAATAAATCTTTTTATTTATATTGGTCCTTTCCTTTATTTTAATTAGAGTAATTTTAATTTAATTAAGTTGTGTTTAATTATAAGAATTTAAAAGGTAATTATAAATTTATTTTATTAATAGTTGGACAAATAAATAATAGTAACAACCTTGCAGTCACTATGTGACTGCCATGACTTGTGAACTATAAATTAAAATTTGCTTTTTTAAATAATGACTTGTTAAATTGGATTGTACATTCTTAAATGTTGACATTTTTAAAGATATGAGCTCATCCCGATGTTACACTCATCAAGAGCTTTCATTTGAGTACCCACATGCGTTTTTGATATATTTTTTATATATACATATATATAAATATATAAAATATATGAAAAATTGATGTGAGTATTCAAATGAAAGGTCTTGATGAGTGTAACATCAGGATGAGCTTATATCTTTAAAAATGTCAATAGTTCACAAGATACAAGGTCATTTCTTAATTATGTATCTAAAGATAAAAAATTTTCAAATGCAGCCTAAATACTTATAATAAATTGACTATCGATGAGAATGATATGAAACCTTTAAAAGGCACAAATTCAAATAAAAACCTTTGCAATGACACTAAATTTCACTAACACAAAATTTTTCTTATTCTCTTAATAATATAGATTGAAAAATTAATTTTAGCCTCAATAAATAAAAAAATATTCGACAAGTTAGTTTTCAACTTAAGGAAATCCTTTCGCTCCAGTTGAGTCAAAACAATTGTAGTAGTCAATATACGATAAATTAAAATAAAAATTCCTAAAATTAAATAATAAATAGTATATGAGGCATTAATCGTTGAAATTTTGAAAATAAAAAAAAAAAAATAGTTAAATACAAAAATTAATTTGACTCTTTCAAATCAGCTGCTAGTAACCTGTCCGTGATTTGGCAACGCTGTACTTCGGTTGTTTACATTTTCATTTGCACAATATAACCTTAACCACGTTCAAGTTTTTGCAGTCAGTGTAAATAAATAAATTAGTTTGAATTTATTGAATGATCTGAAGCTCACGCACTACGCAACGTTGCCAAATGTTTTGACTCTATTTTAATGTAGGTTACTTGAGAATTTTTTGTGATTTTTAAATATTAATTTCTCAATAAATATCTCGGTAACTGATATATTTTATTGCAAAAAAAAGAAACCTGAATATTTCGAAAATCTAATTTTTAGTTTTTTTTTTTTTACTTCATCTAATCCATGACTGATAGTATAATTCGAGAAATACTGCAAACGTCTGACTTTCTCGTAAGACTCTGAACAAATACTAGCATTTAAAAATTTTATTTTTTCAAAAATTTGTCCGGTAAAGTATAATTTAAACCTCACTATTAGATATAAATAAGGACCTTAACTATTAGAAAAAAATTGAATTTACTCATAATGTAATATTTTTTATTTTACATTGGCGGCGAAAGGACCTCCTTAAAGTTATTAATGTTATTTATTAAACAATATACAGTTTAATACATTTGTTGAAAATTGAACGGAGTTCAATATGCGCGCGCATAAATCAATTGAATACTTGTAAAAAAAATTGAAATTGCCTAAAGAAATTTAAAATTCCAAAAATATTATTTGAAAATTCTAAATATTAACTAAAATTAATAAATATATCCAAAAAAATACATCACTTGACATGAGTAGTGTACATAAATAATTATATAAGAAGTATGTCAATATCAATGTTAGAAAATATACATGATGACGTTAGTAACTCGGTGAATGTCAATTGCGGAGCGCAATTTCTGCAACGCTCTTTATTTTCCTACTAGATAGTTAAAAAAAAAAAAAAAAAAAAAACAAGTAAGTTAAAATAAGTGTTAGAGTTAATACATTACTTGCAAAAGAGATATTTTCGTGTAATGTCATCTTCTTATTTTGTTTAATAGGTATTCAGGAAGAAGTCTATAAATAATTACAATAGAGCGTAAATTAAATTGTTTTTAAGGTAGTAAAAAAAATAAAAAAAAAATTATTTAGTCAATAAATTGTGATTTAATTCAGTGAAATGTCACTGGTACCAATGCTGTTCTCCAGCTGGTGGGAAAGCCTGAGGCAGGCTCACCGTATTGATAATCAAGAATTCGGGATGCCTGTTAATAATATATACTTCCCAGCATCCAGTTACAGGAATTACCAGCATCCATTGTTTGATGTAGCTTATCAACGCAGTAGATTTATCACGCCAAAATACAGAGATGAAGATAAGTTCACCGTGACCTTGGACGTGGCCCAGTATAACCCCGATGACATTGCAGTTAAAGTTGTTGGCAATGTTATTATTGTCCAAGCGGGAGATGAATATGAGTTGGATGAGTTCGGTACCTTGTCCAGAGAATTTGAGAGGAAGTATGAAGTTCCGGAAGAGTATAATGTTGATGAAGCCAAGTCTGAGTTGTCTTCTGATGGAGTTTTGACAATCAGAGTGCCTAAAAAAGAATCAGAAAGTGGTAGACCTATTTTGATTGAATATTTACCTTATCCTGCTGTTATTGAAGTTGATCCTAATGTTGCTGAGGTTGAGAGGCCAAGGTCACCAAATCGACGTCAAAGATACAATGGGTCTGTTGCTGCTGGATAATTTTTATTTAATTGTTAACTAAAAAATTTATTTTAAATTAGATAAATTGAATATTTTTATTAATTGGAAAATTTAATAATTTATTTTTTAAATTTAAAATTATTCATATTGAATTATTAATATTATGTAAATATATTTTATTAGTAATATGTGATTTTTTAAAATTTTTTTTATTTATAATTATTTTAAATAACATTTATAAAATTTGCAGCTTTAAAATATTTAAAAAATTGAAATAAATCTGAGCTTGATAGAATTTAAATAAATTTTAAAAAATTGGCTGTAATATATAAAATATATTTTGAATACTAAAATTAAATAAATAAATATATTTTTCTGCCCAAATGTAATTTAATATTGTTAATAAATAAATATAATATAATGTCTCGACAATATATTTCAAATCATAAATAATCCTTGAATTGTTAATCAATTGATTGTAAATTGTGAGATTATTTTAATAAAAATTATTAAAAAAAAATATGTGTTGTTTTCTTCACTTAGAACTCTTATCAAAAAGTATGTTTGGCATGAACTGCTATGACACTAAAATCAGCTGATATTAAAAATTTATTGTATTAAATAAATTAGAACTAAAAAAATTGTTTTTTTCTCATTTTTTCATTAATTTTTTTAATAAAAAAAAATTCTAAAAATCATCAAATGTCTGCTAATTTTATTTTCATAATAAATATTCACTAAGGTAAAAGACCCAGTTATTGACACTTGCAGTTTTATTTTAATTTTTTTTTATTAAAAAAAAAAAATCAACTCTGACAAATTAATAAATATAAATATAATTTTTGAATTATAAATTTTAAGATAATTACTTTTTTAAGAATATTTTATTTTTTTAATTAGAATAAAATTAAAAAAATCATTATTTTAATTAGAATCAAACAACTAAGCTCATGTCAAAATAATTGGGTCTAATTTTACCTTATGTTTATATGACATTTAATTTATCTGTCACTTGATAATTTTTTCATTTTCTTTAACAAAAAAATTTGTTCTAAAATATTATTTTTAAAAAAATGCATTTTTAATTTATTAAAATTTCTACAAGTCCATTTTTTTAATAATTTTTTTTTGCCATAATTTATTTATTAAAAAAAATTTTAAAAATTGTCAAACGACTGCTAACTTTAATGTCATTATGTTTATCTTTTTAAAGAGAATTAAATGGTGAAATTGTGATGAAATTTTTTGACTGAACTGTACTGCAAATTTCATAACAAAAAATAAACAATTGCTTTTGAACGATACTGTACTTTTAACATAAAAATATATTGATATTTATATTTATATACTTACTGGAACTCTATTGTATACAGACCGTTGAATTTAATTTTTTTTCTTCCAGCAAACAGCTGACGTTTGTTATTATTATATAAAACATAATAGAAGATTATATAAACAGTAAAACGAACTGTCGAATTTCTTCCTTCCTTCTCTTCAGTCCCCTAATCTTGTCAGTAACCGCCTTCCAACGAACATTTGAGAATTCTCGGGTTTCATAAACACAAAAAAAAATTCGCAGTATTTTATTTCCAATCAATATAACATTTTTCAGCTGAAATTCATCTAAAAAATAAAATAAAAAAAAACTTATGATAGTTAACATGTAATTTACTCTTTTCTAGAACAAATCATAATCATAATATATTATTATATTTATTATGTTACATATTACTGTGGATAAAAAAAAAACAGCTCCGTTGCCAAAATTAAATTTTACCTCTCTCTTACTCTTGCTTTCAACTCATTCCACTTGCAGTTTCGTTCTGTTTAGTTCCCCAACGACCAGTTAGCTCATCCTCGACCAATCTCGAGCTTTCGAGCCTCGTAACTCGTAAACAAAGGAAACAGTAGTCGTCCATCGCACTCGCTCTTCCTGTAACCCAGAAACGTATAGACCTTTCTAGTATTTTCTTTCCTATTCTGGTCTGGATCCAGACGGGCGTAAACTTCACCTTGGCAATAAATATGTAGATCAATAACCGCCAAAATAATTGACTAAAAAAAAATCATACAATTTATGATATCATGCTATGAAAATAAAATATTAATCATTCTACTTACTGAGAGAATTATTTTGGTACTATTTATAGAAAATCAAAACATTTTGATAAATCTGTGATATAATAATAATAAAGTTAGCCGACATTTTTTATTTTTTTATTTTGCTTAATTTATTAAATTATAACTAAAAAATTACACTTATTGTTTTTGAAGTTTTTAATATATGAAAATTTTTTTTTTTACTTTTTTTTCTAATAATTCTTTGATATAAAAAATCATAAAATTTTTTAGATGTCGGCTAACTTTATTTTCATTGTGATATAATAGATAATTATCAAATTAAAAATTATGATATTAAAATTTTACTTAATAAATTAATTATTGCTAAAAATTAATTTAAAAAAATTAAATTTATAATTTGTTTTCAATTTTTATTTATAAAAAAAAATTCTAAAGGTTATCAAGGTCTTTTAATTTCAATATCATAAAAAAAAAACTCCTAAAAATTATTGATAACAATTTTTTTTTTTAAATTTTCAAATGACATTAAATTTAGCAGTCACTGAAGAATTTAAAAAATTTTTTTTTTAATTATTAAATTAAAACTAAAAAATATTTTTTAAAAATTGCACTTTCAGTTTTTCGAGTTTTTGACAAATGAAAAAATTTTTTTTCAATAAAAAAAATTCTAAAAATTTTTAGATGTCATGTATAAATTTTGAAAAATTAAAAATGCAATTTTTTTTAATAATAATTATTTATAACAATTTTGTTTATTAAATAAAATTAAAAAATATTCAAGTGACAGGTAACTTTAAAGTCATGTCAAGCTAATTAAAATAAAAAATAAAACATACCTCAATTATACACGTCTAAAATAATTTACAAAAAAATAAACAAAACACATATTTACACTGAAGTGTCACGAAGGTTCTCGAACAAAGTCGTTGAACTGTCAGCTGACGCCGGTTTCTCGGTCTATCAGTCGTTGAAAAAATATTTTATTATTTAATAATCTGAAGTTATTCACGTAAGTACACTAAAAATAACAAAACAAATCTAATAACTAAATAAAAAAAAAAAACAATTTTTCAATTATTTATATAAAATTTATAAAAAAGTTCTCGAAAATTCAGTTAAGAACGTTCGTGAAGCTTCGCGCAACACAGCAAGCGCGTATATAACCGCGCCGCGCGATTGGCGACCGGCACAGTTGAATTCAAGCAAGCAAACAGTAAACTTCTCTCGCTGCAAGCGAAAACTCAAAGCGTTCTACGCAACTATTATCTCAAGTGTTAATTTAATTTGTGAGTGAAATAAAAACGTACGAAGATGGCTTTAGTACCATTGTTGTTCTCAAACTGGTGGGAAGACCTGGAGGCTCCTCACCGTCTGCTCGACCAGGACTTTGGATTGGGGCTGTCTCCAGACCAGCTGATGCCACCCAGCGTTGTTGAACGTTACTTGGTGCCTCGTGCGGCTGATCGTCGTCGTCATCCTCTGGCCTACTACCGCCCCTGGGCTGAGCTGCTCCGCAAAGCCGACTCCGGCGCCTCCACCGTAAAAGCCGACAAGGACAAGTTCCAGGTGATCTTGGACGTCCAGCAGTTCCAGCCAGAGGAAATCAACGTCAAGGTGGTTGACAAGTGCGTCATCGTCGAGGCCAAGCACGAGGAGAAGCAGGACGAACATGGCTTCATCTCTAGACAGTTTGTGCGCAAGTACATGATCCCGGAGCAGTGCGACATCGACCAGGTTAACTCCAGCTTGTCGTCTGACGGAGTACTTACCATCACAGCTCCTAGAAAAGACATTCCCAAGGTCGAGGGAGAAAGATCGATCAAGATTGAACACACCGGCAAGCCGGCCATTCGCGAGACTTGCGAAAAAGACGCCTGCGCCAAGGAGTGCAAGAAGGACGACAAGAAGGGAAAAAAATAAATTTACAGTATTTATAAAATATTAATTTTTTTTTTTTCTTGCTTTTGTTTTTGTATTTGTACTTTTGTAAGAGATACTGACTGACTTCATGTGTCACTTTATCTTTAATTTCATGATCTAGTTCATTAAGTTTAATGTTTTGGACTTTTTAAGTCATTAATTGTTTAAGATTAAATTATTGTTAATTTTATGCAAGATTTGAGTTAAGAAATAAAGATCAAAGTTAAAAATAAAAATGAGTTGATTATTTTTTTTAAGATTCCTATCCTTTAGTTAATAATTAGATTAAGATTAATTTTATTATTATATACTTGTAACTTTAAGGGCCAGTTTTTCAATCCGAGATAAAATTTTATCCAGGATGAAATTATTATTGTCAGTATATTTATATATATGAAATATATAGATATATTTTATCATTGGATAAAATTTTATTCTGAATTGAAAAACTGGTCCTAAGAATTACATTTATTTAGTAATAATTTAAGAAAAAATTAAATTATTTCACTATAAATAATTGTTGGACACTTATAATGACGGTAAGTATAAATTTTACATACATATTAATTGATAAACATTAATTCAAATTATTATTTGTCGTTCTTACATATTTTTTAATCTTTAAGTATTGATAAAAATAAAATTTTGAAAATCAATTATTAAATTAAAAATGAAAATGAGTTGATTAGTAAGTAATTAGATTAAGGAGGTCCTTTCGCCGCCAATGTAAAATAAACTATATTAGATTATGAGTAAATTCAATTTTTTTCTAATAGTTAAGATCTTTATTTATCTAATAGTGAGGTTTAAATTATACTTTACCGGACAAATTTTTGAAAAAATAAAATTTTTAAATGCTAGTATTTGTTCAGAGTCTTACGAGAAAGTCAGACGTTTGTAGTATTTCTCGAATTATACTATCAGTCATGGATTAGATGAAGTAAAAAAAAAAACTAAAAATTAGATTTTCGAAATATTCAGGTTTCTTTTTTTGCAATAAAATATATCAGTTACCGAGATATTTATTGAGAAATTAATATTTAAAAATCACAAAAAATTCTCAAGTAATCTACGTTAAAATGGAGTCAAAACATTTGGCAACATTGCGTAGCGCGCGAGCTTCAGACCATTCAATAAATTCAAACTAATTTATTTATTTACACTGACTGCAAAAACTTAAACGTGGTTATGGTTATATTGTGCAAATGAAAATGTAAACAACCGAAGTACAGCGTTGCCAAATCACGGACAGGTTACTAGCAGCTGATTTGAAAGAGTCAAATTAATTTTTGTATTTAACTATTTTTTTTTTTTTTTATTTTCAAAATTTCAACGATTAATGCCTCATATACTATTTATTATTTAATTTTAGGAATTTTTATTTTAATTTATCGTATATTGACTACTACAATTGTTTTGCGACTCAACTGGAGCGAAAGGATTTCCTTTTAAATATATTTACAGAAAAAAATTCTCTAATTGTTCAATGGCACTACTATTGGATTAAACCAAGTTTTTTTTTTTTATAATAATCTTTAATCTTTGAAATTTTATAACACTGTTGAGATAATAGTCGACGACCCACCTTGAAGATATTCACTATCAGAGAATTATTGCGTTATTTTTCCTTCTACTTCCTCAATTCTTATTAATTTTGACAGTAAATTTGTTTGAGAGTGTCGAAATGTTTCAAGTATGAATAACTCTTTTTATTTTTTCTACTTATTGTTTTATTAAGCAGTAAAATTTTTGGAAGCCGAGCAACTCCTGAAAAAAAGATATTAATATCTACATATTTTTACTTTTACCATTGATCCTTATGGAGAATCACAGACTTTATTTTATTTCACAAAACTGGACGTTGAGATTCTTATAAAAATCAACACAACGAGAGGAAATAACATCTAGAACATATTTAGTAACAATCAGTATGGTTTCCAAGAATGTGAGAATATTTATTAATAAAAAACATTCAAAATTTATCTCTGTCTCTCTTTCTCCAACGTAATTTAGTATAGGGAAATCTACTACGTTAATCAAATAAGGTTAGGTTTTGGGATTTGACACTTGTGGTAACGGTAGTACTACCTTAAGAAAAAATAAAATAAAATTATTTCACTATAAATAGTTGGATAATTAATAATAATAACAGTAAGTATAAATTTTACATTCATATTAATTATTGATAAATAATAATTCAAATTATTATTTATCGTACTTATATATATTTTTTAATTTTTAAGTATTGATAAAAATAAAATTTTGAAAAAATCAATTATTAAATTTAAAACTATTTAAAAATTTGAAAATTCATTATTGAATGATATTTAATTAAAATGATATTTTATTATTTATAAAAAAAATATTATTTGATTAGTGAAGAAATGAATTAAAAGCAAAAAATTAATTTTATAATAATAATAAGAAGAAATATATTAATAAATTGTAATATTTTATTTATAATTAATTAATAGTATACAAATTATTTATTTATATTCATTAAAAAATAGCATCTTATCTCAAATACTTTGAGCGACGATTAGTGCTACCGGAATTTCTATAAATTATTAAATAAAAGCAAACGCTTATAACTTTCTGGAAGATTAGTACAAGGCAATCATAATTAAATTTATAGAGCAATTCTAATAAAATTTAAAACCAATTTCCATCACTTTGAAAACGATAATAATTATTTACAATCAATTAATAGTAATAATAATATGATAGAAGAAAATTAATATCAACTGTCTTTTAGTACTTCTTTCAGTATCGATCCAGTATTTCTGGACGGTATAAAGTCAGGAAAGGATGGAAGCGTCATATTGGATAACAAAAGGCCGCCTGATTGGTTTGAAGATGTTGAATGTTGTCTACTGTGTCCAGGCCGTATTGACTGTAAATAAATTATAAATTATAATAAATGAAATTATATATGTATGTATTTATAATTTTAGGAAATAATTATTTTTACTTACTGTGTTTGAAATAGGTAACGCTGGGACAGAAGACACCGGTTTTGATTCACTCTCCAAAAATTTAATAAATGCTGCTGATAAAGAGGCTTCTTGGTCCTTTAAAAATAATTAAAAAATTATTTTAAAGTTTGTTATTAAAATAAATTATACTGAATTTAAATAAAAAGCGGATTAGAAAATTATAAGTGGATGTTGGATGAAAAAGAGGAGATACTAATAAAAAAATCCACATACAACGAGCTATATAAAAATATAAAAGCGGAGGAAAGCAACAACTATTGGAAAAGAGACAACACAAGAAGTGAAGATAAAGAAACATGGGCTAGATTACAATGCGGTAATATTTGGAGGGACGGAAAAAAAGGGCAAAATAACTGGGGGTGCAGAATTTGTGAAAAAGAGCAAGAAACGATTATTCACATTATAAAGTGCAAGGAAATTCATGAAAAAATAACAGTGGAAGGCAAACAAGCAAAAAATAAATGGCTAGAAGAGGTAAATAACGATGTGTCCACTGAATTAATGATAGAAACTTTAAAAGGGGAGATAAAAAAAAGACTTATGTACATTTATAAGAGATGTAGAAAGAGTGTTTAAAGAAAAAGCACTAAATAACAAAAATTGTCAAGGCGCTGCGGACATATAATGTATACTAAAAAATACAAAATTAATTATAAGAGTAAGAACAGAAATGTGATACTAGTAATTTTGTATAGTATAAAATTATTATTTGTTATAAAAGCTGTAAGGAGTGTGATATACTAGATTAAATCAAAGATAATTGTAAGTGGATGTAATAAAATAAAATGTAGTGTAGAGAGTGGTGTGTACTTATAAATAACTAAGAGTGTACCAAAGAAAAATGAGTAAAAAGCAATTATTTTTGTAAATGTAATATAGTAACAGTTTTGTAAAACACTAAATATGGTGATTGTTGGATTCTCTGAGCAAAAATAAATTCCAGTTACAAACTTTTTAGTTTTATATTTTATATATTTAGTTCTTAGAAATATTTATTTTAGAAAAATAACGTATTTTTCTTTTATTAGTTTTTTATATGTGAAAAACACATTTAAGGCACATTTGTGCAGCTAGAATAAGAAAGCCTGTATAGGCTTGATTTTATGACCTTTAGGTACTTGAGTTGTACAAAGGACAACTCTCTATTTTACACTGTATAGTATAACCACTATAATATTACGGTCTTAGTTAAGAAGAAAAACATGTGTTTTACTAAGGACAATACAGAGGGTTTTAGACCTCACAATAAAATAGTTTTTAACATTATAGTTAGTCTGCGACTAAACTCTGTCAAGTAACGACACTTCTCTCGATACGATTCTTTTCTTTAAAATAAAGATTCTATTTGAATCACTCTATGTGGATAATAATATTGTTTTTCACTTTATTTATTATTAATCCTATCCATAACTTCCTACAGTGATACAAATAAAATTATATTCTATTCTATACTGAATTTAAAAAACATCTAAAAATTTTACATGTAAAATTTTTAAATATTTGTTTTTCATAATAATTTATTGGTAATAAAATTTCTAAGAATTGTTGAATTTTTGTAATAATTACCTAAATAATAATTCAAAAAATTTAGCAAAAAAATTCTACATATAAAAATTAAAAGTGCGAATTTTTTTAAATATTTTTTTTTATGATAATTGATTGATAATAAATTTTCTAAGAACTGTTAAATTTTTATACTAATTAAAAAATTAATTAAAAAAAAAAATGAATAATTTACCTTAGTAGCTCCACCATGTAAAAGTCCAGAGAACCAACCCCCATGAGCATTAGAACTATTCAGTCCAGATTTATCACGTTCAGATTCATTAAAATCTAAAACAGTAGCCATTACTCTCAACACCGATGATTTATCAGCATTTGAAGCTGATATAAAACCCAGCAGTAAATTCTTCACAAGATTTCTAGAAAAAAAAAATTTACAATTAATAAAATTGACAATACAATTCATTAATTGTTAATAAAAAAAAAATTTACTTGTCAACTTTTCCTATGCCACTTTCTTTAGCTTCTTGAATTCTCTGCTCCGCAGTATTAACAAGTTCATTTAATTTAGAGACTGTAAATAAATAAAAATTAATTAATAATAAATAAACGAGCATGAAGAAATATTAAAAATTTAAATAATTAATTGATAATTATAATTAAAATAAAAAATGAACAGTGATACCTATTGTCGCATAAAAATGTGCACTAATTTTTCATCCAAGTTGACGTAAATTGATGAGGACTAAGAAAACATAAATGCAAGTATAACACAAGCACTGGCATTCAATTAATATAACCAGTACCTGATGTAATACTCACACCTATGTTTATATGATCATGCTGCATTCCTCTGGTATCATGCCATTTTATTGAGCTATCATGCTAATTTTCTAATTATTAATATGCGTTAAAATAATAAATTTATTAAATAATAAATTTTATTGCAATTATCGGCTAATATTTAAGTGTCGATTTTTTTTATTGAAAAAATGGCAATAATTGTGTTGAAAAAAAAAATTTTTTTAAGTGTCAAGTAATGGTGAAGGTGTTGATAAATAAATATTTGGTGGTTAAATAAAATAATAAAATTAAATTGAAGGATAATGGTAGCGGGTAGGAAATCCCACAAGGTAATATGAGCAACTGTAATGAACCGACTCACAGTTACCAAATGAGATTACTTACTCAATCGCTACCAAATAATAAAATATTTTTTTTTTTTTTATTAAATAGAATTATCAAAATTTAATTAATTATTTTTTTTTTTTTAAATGCAACTTTGATTTCTTCTTTTATAAAAAATTTTTTATAGCAAAAAATTATTTATTTTATGTACTTATAATTAAATTATTTAAAAAATTTAATAATTAAATTAAACACAAAAATTTAATTAAAAATTCCCTGAAACCCAAAATAAAATATTTCATGTGAATTATTAATCTTAAAAATATTTTTTAATCGCATGATAATGAAATTAAATATATATTTTTCTGTTAAAAAAAAAAAAAAAAAAAAAAAAAAAAAATAAGTTGGGTAAAAAAACCAACACCAAAATAAAATGGATATGCGTGAATACGATTTAGTGTGCAAAGGCGACGTTCTAATGCTTAGCCAGATACCAGCAAGAATCCTGAGTTATTCTAACATCCCAGAATTACCAGCTGATATTTGACTAAGACACCAGATTTATGTGCATTTGCTCTATTTTAATTAGTCACAATTATATTTTATATTAAATATGAATTATTACTGCTCATTTAATAATTTAAACTTAAACTACTTAAACTAATTACTAATTTTAAATATCTAAAAACTATTATTTAAATTAAAAGAAGAAATAGCGAGAAGCATTAGAGTAGCGTGAAATTTTTTAGTACCATGCAATTTAATTATTAATCTAAGATATTAAAAAATTTTCTAATTACCAGTAACATTAGTTAATACATGCATTCTATTTTTAAATAAATTAAATTAATTAACTAGAAGAATATAAAAATTAATATAAATACCTTCTTCATTAAGTTCTTGTATTTTTTCAGTTTTTTTATCCAACTGTTCGCTTAATCGCGAAGCTGCTTGCAAACATTCTTTTGCTTCTGTCAATTGATTCTGTTGAGAAGAAATATCCAAGTATTAATAAATAAATATTAATTTTATACATTTATTTATTAATTATAAATTTGACATTGAAACAAAGAAACTTATCTCAATATCTATCATCATTCAATTTATTGTTTATTATTAAAGTATTAAATTAAGCATAAGCAACTTGTTTTGCTAGGTAATAATAGATCTTGAATAATCAATCAACAAACCTTTAATAATTTAATTTCTTCATTAAGTTCATCTTGTTTTTTAAATGAATTATTTAACTGCTGTCGAATTCTTTCTGTTGCATTTCTTATATCATTTTCTTTATCTGAAATAAAAAATAATTTTTTATTATATCTAAAAAATATATCAATTAATCAAGCTTCAAATTTTAAAGTTCTATTAAATATTATTTTGTAATAAAACACTTGAATCTTTTCTTAATAATTTAAAAATTCTAAATTTTACACAAAAATTCAAAAAAAAAAATTATTTTTTAGACTTAGACTTAGAATTTATACTAGCAACCTTGCAGTCACTATGTGACTGCCGTGACTTGTGAATTATAAATAAATAAAATTTTGCTTTATTAAATAATGACTTTTGTTAAATTGCAGCTTATCCTGATGTTACACTCATCAAGAGCCTTCATTTGAGTACCCACATGCATTTTTGATATATTTTTCATATATACATACATATATATAATATATATGAAAAATTGATGTGGGTACTCAAATGAAAGGTCTTGATGAGTGTAACATCGAGATGAACTTATATCTTTAAAAATGTCAATAGTTCTCAAGATACAAGGTCATTTGTTAATTATTGACATTTTTAAAGATATAAGCTCATCCCGATGTTACACACATCGAGACCTTTCATTTGAGTACCCACATGGCATTTTTTTATATATTTCATATATATGGTATTTGTGAAATATATAAATATATAAAATATATGAAAAATTGATGTGGGTACTCAAATGAAAGGTCTCAATGAGTGTAACATCGGGATGAGCTTATATCTTTAAAAATATTAATGGTTCCCAAAAAACAAGGTCATTTCTTAATTATGTATTTAAAGATAGAGAATTTTCGAATGCAGCCTAAATACTTATAATAGTTATAATAAATTAAATTACCTCTTTGAAATTGTTCCAAAACAATTTGCAGATTAGTAAGCGCAGCAGAATGTGACTGAACCTTATCTTCAGCAGCCGACAATTTATTCTGAATCTCATCTCTCTGCTGCGCAAGCAAAGTCATTTGCTGTTGAAGAGTTTCAACCTGTTGATTAGCCCTGATATTCGCCGAAGTATAAACCGTAGAACTATTCTTAAGCTGTTCTTCAGTCTGCATCAACTTAGCTTCAACATCCTTCTTGCTGTGCTCCAGAATCAGCATCTCTTCAGTATGATTATCTTCAATCTCCATCAAATGCGACCTGAGCCTCTCCAGCTCTTTAGCAGCAGAACTCTCCCTCTGCTGACTATCAGTCAGCTGATTCTGAAGAATCCTATTACTAGTCTGTTCCTGAACCAGGGCCGCTTCAAGCGCATTAGACTTCTCAACAAGCATCGCCAGCTGCGCGAGCTTACTCGAGTGCTCAACAATATTACAAACCTCCCCATAGTTAGTCGACTCTTCAAGATTATTGAGCCTCTGACGCACCACTTGAAGTTCGTTCTGCGCCCAGAGCACCTCGGCCTCCTTATCTTTCATCAACTTCTCCAAAGACTCACGTTCCGCGACGGATGTTTGCAGAGCAGCCGCCTGGTCACTAAACAACTGAGTCATACGTTGAATTTCAGCGTGGTACTGCAAACTCTCATTGTGTTTAACTTGAACAAGTTTTATGAGTTCATCGCGCTCGCTCTTCAAAGAAGCCAAAATATTTTCATTCTCACAATCTTTCTTCTCAACATCCAAAGCCTGCACAGACTTTATCGCTTCAATTTCCTTATCCTTCTCATTAACAATTTTCGACAAGTTCTCAATAGTCTCCCTAGCCATGTCCGCAGCTTCTTGTGAATTATCAACCACAGACTGTAATTGTCTCTCCTTCAAATCCAGCTGCTCAACTAATTCCCTTTTTTCTTCCTTCAACGCCTCCAATTCCGCGGTTTTAACCTTAACCACATCAGAAATCTCTTTCTTATCTTCAATCAGCTGCTGCTTTTCATTCAACAACATCACCAGATCTCCTTCAAGCTGCTGACACCTATCAACTTCTTCCTTACTCTTTTCTTCCTCCAACTTCTTAACCTTTTCTTCAACCTCCAAATATTTCTCTTGATACCCAATTAATTCCTTATTACAAGCCTTCAATTTTAAATATTCTTCCTTCATCTCCTGATATTTCTTCTCACTTACTTTCAATTTGTCTTCAACTTCCTTCATCTTCAAAATTTCTTCTTTCACCTTCTCAACTTCCTTCATCCTCAAAATTTCTTCTTTCAACCCTTCGCACTCAATTTTAGCTTCTTTAAACTTAATTTCCCATTCCTTGGACATTTCTTCCGACTTTTCTAACTTACCCTTCAACTTCAAAATTTCTTCTTTCAACCCTTCACACTCAGCTTCAGCCTCTCTAAACTTACTTTTCCATCCCTTCAAAATTTCTTCCGACTTATCTAACTTGCCCTTCAACTCATCAAGCTCAGCCCTATCAGCCCTTGCTTCATTCTGCAAAAACAAGTGCTCTTGCTGAAGAGAATCAAGCTCCCTAGACAACAGCACTAATCTCTCCTCAGATTCTTCCTTAGCTTCCTTAGCAACCTTGCTCTTCTTCTCCAATTTTCCAATTTCTTCCTTCAACTCAAAACACTCTTTCTCAGAAAGATCAACCTGGCTCAAAGCACCATCCAATTCCTTCCTCATATTAACCAAATCATACTCCAAGTCGCTCTTCTCCCGACTAACCCCCTCCAAACTCTCTCTAAGCTCCCTAATTAAACCACTATCTTCATCAATCCCTCCACTATTCTTCAGCAGCTTAATCTCCATCTCCAACTGCTCTTTTTCCTGCGAAAGAACCAAAATATCCCTTTCAATCTCACCTTTAGCTTCACTAACCACCTTCAATTCGCTCTCCAGCCGCTTGTTGTTCTCCACCGAGTGCTTCAATTCCTTCCTCACATTGTTAATATCCAACTTGAGCTCCTCAATCAGCTCAATATTTTCATCCAAGCTCTTGCACTTCCCTTCATACATACTCAGCTGCTCCTGCATCTGTCTCTCCCTAACTTCCATCGCGTCATTTTTGCTCCTGAGCTCGTTGTTCTCGTCCAAAGCGACGTGCAACCTGCGACTGAGGTCCTCCATCATGTTTTCATTATTCTCGACATTTTTTGAAGCTCCCGCGAGCTGCTGCTGGGCTATCACCAACTGCTGCTTGGTATTGCGGACTTCGGCTTCTAGATTCTCCTGATTTCTCAAAGAACCTTCGACATTACTCATCGCAGTGATGAGCTCTGAATTTTTGTGGCCCAGCAATTCAATTTCAGCTTCCAGGCGCTTTAATTCCTGCATCATGGATTCATTTTCTGCCTCCAGCACCGCGACTCTTTCTTCACTGGCTTCGGGTATGGACGGCAAATTAGACTTAACGTGTTGGATTTCCATTTCTAATGACTCAACATGATGCTGCAATTCATCACATTCCATTTGTAAATTATCTCTCATGTTACTTGTCTGGTGAAGTTTATGTGTTAGCTCTGTCATCTGACGTTCAAGAGTATCTTTTTTCCATGACACTTCAACGTAATGCTTAGCTAAAGACTCGAATATTGTTTCATTTTCATAATCTGGTTTTAAATTTATATTACAGTCTTTTATTATATCTCTGACGCGAGAAATTAATAATTCAATGCTGGCCTTAGTTTGATTATCTTCAGTCTGGGTTGTTTCGTTGCTAAGCTCTTTTTTTTCTTCGTTATTTAATATAGTTTGGATATTTTTATCTTCTGAGAATTTATTTTTTAAAGAAAGTACTGTTGAATTATTGTTTGGGAATTCAGACTCTAATTTATTTAATTTATCTTGACAGGAATTGTAATCGACGTAAAGAGATTCATAGGCTGCTTGGAGACTTTTGTGTTTCTTCTCTAGTTCTTCTTTTATACTCAAAACTTTTTCTGTAATTAATAAAATTAATTAAATTTAGTAAATTTAATTAAGTTAAATTAATTAAATTAAAGAAGAAATTATAAGAATATTTTTAAAAAATTATTAAATTAAAAAAAAAATACTTACCGATTGATTGAGAGTGCTGCTGGTCCAATTCCTCAATGCTAGCAGTCAAATTTTTGTTTTCTTCCTGCAATTTAGCTATTTTATCCAGCAAGTCGGTTTCTCGATTATGAACCCCATTGGTGGCGATTTCGTCGTGATAACGCTGGGAATTATTCCGTTTTCTGGCGATATTTGTCTTTTTGTCGTCATTGTCTTTCAATTCATTCCCATTGTCAAGCTCCAATGCGTGTAGGGCACAGCGGATCAGGTGTACTTGCTCGTGAGAATCAAGTTTCGATATCGCGGCACGAAAATCATTAACGAACGTTGATTCATCTAACTGCTGTTTCTTCATGTTTCTTTCCGCCTCCCGACCCTGTGTACAGTTATATATGTATATAAATATATGCATTCATTCAAACATACGAAAATACATGTTTTATATATTATTCAATGTTTGCGTGATAATCGAGGTAAATATATGTCATTATGTAATATTACACGAGATCTAATGCCATTTAATTAACTCTTTAGATTGTAATTTTGCATGATTTTATGAGCAATAACATTTATTGTTTAATTTTTACTTTGTACTTTTTTTTTTTTCTTTATTAATTTGCTTGATCAAATAATAACTTGTTAAATTGTACTGTACTTTCTTAAATATTGACTTTTTTAAAGATATAAGCTCATCTCGATGTTACACTCATCGAGAGCTTTCATTTGAGCACCCGCATGCATTTTTGATATATTTTTCATATATACATATATATATAATATATATATATATAAATATATAAAATATATGAAAAATTGATGTGGGTACTCAAACGAAAGGTCTCGATGAGTGTACCATCGGGATGAGCTTATATCTTTAAAAATGTCAATAGTTCACAAGATACAAGGTCATTTCTTAATTATTGACATTTTTAAAGATATAAGCTCATCCCGATGTTACACTAATTGAGATCTTTCATTTGAGTACCCACATGGCATTTTGATATATTTTTCATATATACATATATATATATATATAATATATATAGATATATAAAATATATGAAAAATTGATGTGGGTACTCAAATGAAAGGTCTCGATGAGTGTAACATCGGAATGAGCTTATATCTTTAAAAATATCCATATTTTACTAGATAAAAGATCATTTCTTAAATATGTATCTAGAAATAGAACCTTTTTGAATGCAGCCTACATACTTATCAAATAATAAATTAAAAATTCACCTTTTCACCAATTTGTATAATACGATTAACAATATCTTGTTTAGCCCGTAAAATTTCAGCTTTTTGATGCCCATCAGCAACATCATCAAGTTTGTCAATGGCTTTATTACGAAATTTTTCAAGTTCTTCCTCCAACTCGCGAATTCTCACGGTGGCTTGAACAATTTGTTCTTGCAGTTCACGTACTTGACTCCGATTACTTTTAATATCCCGATTACTCGCGGGCGGGTCCCAAAAGAATCCTCCGCCTTCATCCGCGCCTGCATCTTGCTGAAAAAAAAAAATCACAAAATAATTAGAATAAATAAAAAAAAAAAATTATTACACTCATCAATATCATAATAAATAATTACAACGTTAATTTAATATAAAACGACAATAAAATCACAATTATTGTCATCCTTAACTTTGCATAAGAGTCTCATGTCTGAACAATGCCCAAAGCGTTTCTATCCGGCAACTTCCAGGGTCATGCAATGGAAGAAAGAAAACATTATGCAATGCAAATAAATTACATATCTCAAGTTTTGGGTCGCGAGAAGAAAACCCGAGTGTGTTATGCTTAAATAAAAATTATTTTGTGCAAGGAAATTAAATAAAGAAATCTCCAAAGCGTGTCAATAGGTGAAGGTTTATAATTTATAATATAATTATTTATAAAAACTCGGGCTGTTAAAAGGACAATGCATTATGTATAAAGATTTAAGGAATAAAACTCACTCGATTTAGATATAGAGATACAAATTGATGCAAAGAGGAAGTTCGATCTGAAATATCTTTGAGTCATAATAAAAATGCGGATCTTTTTATTTTGTTTCGCCGGGTCAATTTTTTTTACTTATTTTTCTTTTATATATTCAAGTGGCACTCTCATCGAAATGCAAATTAATGTAACCCAGCCGACCAACTGAGGACCAATTCTTATTATCTGTTAAACCATTTCGTATTGATGAATATCAAGATAAAAACGAGTTAAGATTTATGGTTCTGAATATAAACTGCAGTGTATTATTCAGATCTTGAATAAAATTCTATCGGATCATTGAAAATTTAATCAGTTTTCATAATAGAAGAATTATAATTACAAATTACTTGAATTTTAATCTACTAATTATTTTGTAATAGCCAAAATAGTTTAAAAATTTCTAAGTTAATTATGGTGATAATTTTAGATCATTATATCTAAATCGTTAAATATAATCAGCTTTCATCAACGTCATTCGGTTGTACAATATTTCGTTTGCTCAAAAGCGATAAGACCTGAGTATTTTTGAAGATATAATGTATGTTAATTGGTACGGTAATCACCTACTAAAAACTAATAAATCAATTATTTTAAGTAAAGAGAATTAAAAACTGATAAATCGTTTAATTATCAAGATTCAAAAATTATTTTTCAGGTTTAATTTTATTTATTTCAAAAATTTTTTTTAAATTAAAGTATTTTAAGTGAAATTTTATCATTTTTTTAAATGAAATTTAAAAAAATTTATTTATAATGTTTTTAAATAAATAATTTATTGTAAATTTTTTTTTAATTTCACTTATCATTTTTTTTAATAAAAAAATTATTGTAAAGAAAATAAAAAAAAAATCAACTTTTAATTTTTTTAAATAAAAACTATTTTGAAGAAAATTAAAAAAAAAATCAACTTTTATTTTTTTTAAATAAACAACTATTTTGAAGAAAATTAAAAAAAAAAGTTAGCCATTATTTTTGTATATAAAAAATTATTAAGAAAAATTTTAAAAAAAATTAATTTTTAATTTTTTTTAATTAAAAAAATTATTTTGAAGAAAATTAAAAAAAAAAGTTAGCCACATTTTTTTACATAAAAAATTATTAAGAAAAATAAAAAAAAAATAATTGTGAAGAAAAATAAAAAAAAAGTTTTTGAAGAAATTTTAGGAAAGTTTTTTTAGTATTAATTTATTTGTTGAAAAAAAAAAAATTGATGAGGTCTATGAATTTTTTTTTTTTTAACTATTTTATAAACTTCATTCAAATTTCTTCTGTTGAGCTTAGCTATTGAAGTGTTGGTCCAACCTGGTTAGCTAATGAATATGAAAGAGGGCTTCGTTAGGTCAGGTCAAGGAATAATAGCTCGTTTGACTTGCATACCGTGACAAATAATATAATAATAGTAACATAATATAAAATAGTAATAGTAACAATAAATAACCTGACTGATTGTTCAGACATTCCCTAAATATGAATGCCTATCTTATATTATAGAAATTTATTCTTTTTTTATACAATTCTGGAGTAAATATTATTTTTTTTTGTTATAGGTAAAAAGAGCGCCCGGACAATGGAGAATTTTAAATATTGTAATTTTAATAAAAAACATTCCTATCGCACTTGTGTACTGATGAGCACGGGTAATAAGTCACCGATAGTGAACGTGGGAAAGGAAGTGGCTCTATCGAACTAGCGCGGTAAAAGTCATTTATCTAGTGATAAAAATTGATAATAAGTCGAGCGTAATAATCATAATGTGCATCAGCTTAAAAAATATATTTTTTTCATTTTCAGATATTCACTTTTTATATTATATATAAATTTAAATTTATCTGACGTTACTGTAATGTATAGAGACTGTAGATAAAAATTATGTAGTCTATAATGAAACAGGTGTTCATCAATAAAAGTAAACGCTGGGATATGATAGATGAATAAAAAAAGGTATTTTTTTTTTTTTATAATATTCAAAGCGAGTGCTGGATATTATAAGGATTAATTACTCTTAAGGATTATTTTTATTTCCTACCGGAAATGTGAGAAGACGTCTTTTATATGAGAAGAAATAAAGTATTGTATGGGTATGTAATTTATTTTTGCACACCTTTCTTGAGTTAATAAATTTAGCAGACAAAGGAGAATGCTCTATCTCTAGACACATAATTAAGAAATGACCTTGTATCTTGTGAACTATTGACATTTTTAACGATATAAGCTCATCCTGACATTACACTCATCGAGACCTTTCATTTAAGTACCCACATCAATTTTTCATATATTTATATATATTATATATATGTATATATGAAAAATATATCAAAAATGCATGTGGGTACTCAAATGAAAGCTCTTAATGAGTGTAACATCAGGATGAGCTTATATCTTTAAAAATGTCAATAGTTAAGAAAGTACAGTGCAATTTAACAAAATTCATTATTTAATAAAGCAAAATTTTATTTATTTATAGTTACACATATAGTGACTGCAAACTTGCTCGTTGTTATTATTATTATTCACCGATTTGAAAATTATTAATAATAATAATAATAAAATGTAGAAAAAATGGACGAAGAAAGAGGTCACGATAACGTCGGACTCCAGATATCAGGAATAACGAGCTTAAGCGTTCCAGCACGATATTGTTCTTGAGTAAATATTAACAGCTGTGCAGGTATTTATGAAAAAAAAAATAAAAAAAAAAACATAGATGTAAACGTGGCGTACTAGTTTTTTTTTTCCTTATAACAGAAAAAAATGCAACGGAAATAATTTGAGGAAAAAATGTTATGAAAATTGAACAATTTAAGTTACGTAGAGTGACATATACATACGTCGCCAGTACTGCGATAACGAGTAATCGAGACGGTTTTCAATGGTAGAAGACACGCGATATTGTGCCCGCATCGTTATACACCGTCAATACTGACCTCGGAATAAAATAAATATAAATAAAATAGGTAAGTGTAAGTACGAGCATTGCTAAAATTCACCGCTAATAACTCAATTATCGAAATTTAAACTATGTAGTCACAACAATGTGGTAATGGTTTATGTTTTATGGATTTTACATTTAGAACAAAATAAAAAATAATTTATGGATGTATATTATGGCTATATAATACTACTAATATAACATTTTTTTCTTACAGAGCGTTTTGCTTTACTGAGAAAAAATGTCGTCAGCATTCTGGAAGATAAGCCCAGTGCGTCACCTTTTGATACTTTAGCTTATATATTTTAAATTACACTAAAGTTTTTTAATTACTTTACAGTTTTTTTTTTCTAAATTAATAACTTTTTTAATTTAGGTTTGAACATTATTTATAATTTATAATAAATTATGGAAGATATTATTTACGACCCACAATTTTTCAACCCGTAATAATAATTGTTTTAATAAATAAATTTTTTTAAGTTTATTAAAAATAGATAGAATAATTTAAAACAAATCCTATTTTTTTTTTAAATTTTTTAAAGCAAAAAATTTTAATTTTTTCTTTCCGTAAAATATATAAAAAAAATCAGTAAATTTCGGAATTAATTTCAAGAAAAAATTTTTACTTTAAATATTTATAATTTCTTGATAATAAAAAAGTCTTGAAAAATAATAAATAAATAAATTTTATAGTTAAAAAAAAAAAAATTCAATAAAACTAGGTGAAAAAAAAATTAATCAATCATTATCGTAAAGTTTAGATCTTTGGTACGATATCTAATAAAAAGCTTTCATATCAATAAAAAACAATAAAATATATATTAATGTGTAGGTATATATCGATATTTAATAATGTAGAGCGATATTACAGACGGTTTATTGTGGGGTTACTCTGGGTAACACCGTGGAAAGTTGATCGAACATAGGTAAAATAAATGGGCATGCGATAAGCATTGCTCGTTACGTAGAACGTCAAACCTAATCGTGTCCCACAAACTATTCGCACCGTCCTCACCTCCTCACGCATGTACACATAAATATTATCCGCACACATAACATATATATATATGCATCGTGTGTGCGAATTACTTGTTGCTACGTTAATTGTGCAAGCGGTATTTTGCACTATTGCGCAACAGTTTAACCAAGGACCGATGAAAGTAGTATAAGTATTAGTGTCTGTATTAACTTTTTACAATGTGTCATATTTACTTTTTTGCATATTTTTTACTTTATTAATCTTGAAACGCTGTTTCATCCTCGTCTTCCCGCCTAACGCCAAACTCCACCGAGATCTTCTTCATCTTCATCTTAAAGTTTGTTTAATATTTTTCGTTACCGCAAAAAACAAAGAGAAAAAATTTACCGGTCGGTTTTAAATAGAAAATGTTAACTTAAAAAACTGCCATAAAACCGGGGACTTTGCATTCAAATGAAGTTAATTTTTTATGGGTATTATCGATGTGTTTTATGTGTAAAATTGCGTAATTAATGTTGTTTTATTTATTTTATTTTTTTTTTATATTAATTTATCAGGATAAAAATACAAATTTATGTCAGCGTTTTACAATAGAATATCATTGTTATATAACCAGAAAAAATTGTATAACAATAATAGATACTGTAAATGGAAGAAATATATATATAAAATAAATAATAATAATGATCGATTTTTCAAAAGCATTATTCTTATAATAATCCTTTCTTATAATAATTTTTGATTATTTCCAAAAAATTTTCAAATTATTATTATTATTATTATTCGCCGATTTGAAAATTAATAATAATAATAATAATCTGAAAATTAATTGCTACAATTTTTGGAAATAATAAAAAATTATTATAAGAAAGCATTATTATTAATTTATTTTAAAGTTTAATAATAATAATAATAATTATTATTATTATTATTATTGAGCTTGAAAATTGATAATAAGAAAAATTAAAAAACAAAATGTTAAAAAAATAAAATTAAAAAAAATTATAAAAAGGGCGTATAAAATCAATCGTCTATATAAACTCAATAATAAATTGCAAATTATTTATTATAAATAATTTTTTTCTAATTTATCGTCTTTTTTAAAAGGACTTCAAGTTTCTCGGTTGTTCAAACATCTTAAATTGACTCGAGAAAGTCGAGGACGACATCGGCTTGACATATGCCGATATACACATTGAGTTCGAAGTACAAGGATCAATTTAATTAGATTTTCCAACTATTTATGTATAAATATAAATATAAAATGTAATGATCAAGGTATAATGCAAATGATGCCTAAATGGGTCAATTTGCTGCAATATTTGATCCAATAATTGTCGCAGGTACTATTAGTTATAAATATTTAGAAAAAAAATTAGAGATTATTAGTGTCCTCGATGCTGATTATCGTATGTATTTTAATCGTTGATTAAGATAAGAGCAAGCGATGCATTTATCACAAACCGGCGTCTTTTATGATAAAAAATTCTCTAAACTCTTTTAAAATTACCGCAAAAAATCAAGGAAAAAATTTCTTTCTAAAAAAAGAGTTCCTTACTCGACTTTAAAACTTGCATTGTATTAATTTATGACAGTTGTTAAAACCCAGCTAAGTCATAATGTTCGGAGCTCTCACCAAAGCATACAATTACAATTTACAAGGAGGGCCTTAAATTTGGAGCTTATTGTCGTTAAAATAATAAACTTCTCAGTAGTAATTTAAATTCTGGATTTTTGGTGTAACGGAAACATGACGTACAGCAAGTATGTCACCGGAATTTCTTTTTTTATGTTTATTAATTTAGTAAAAAAACGTTTAACAATCGGAACTATCGGTGCTGTCATGTGATAGCTTACAAGCAATTCAAGGTATTTTAAACGTCACAAATCAGTTTTATTTACGTGTATGTAACAGTGATGCAGACTGCTAAAGAATAGTGTAGACATCGTCACGATGATGTGTTTGTTTCCGTTTCTGTATAATATCCAATCGTCGATTTTTTTTTTTTTTTCGCAAGTCATTAAAATACAGATCCTCTTTTCTGTCTTTTTAATAAAACTATTATATTATCCAATAATAATAATAATAATAATAATAATATAATAGAAATAACAATAACAATAAAAATAATAATAATAAACAATAATGCGCGGGTATTATTTCAAAATGAAGCTACTGGTGTGCTAGAAAATTGATAAACTTCCTTTCAATAATTATTTCCAATAATATAATCATCATAATTCATATCCGATACAACTATTGTTTAAAAAACTTTCATTTCCGCACTATTGTTGTCAAAAATGAATGAATTTTATTTTAATTGAGCAATATGATAATTTAATATGTTAAAAATTTATCTAAAAGAAGAAATAAAAAAAATTACCTGATTTTGGAGCTGACGCAAATAAATTCACTATTTGCACGTGAATTGACAATAATTATTTAAAAAAATTTTCAATGTACAATTACTAATTTATTTTCAGGAAGAAATAAATTTACTAAAGAGACTAAGACTTTAAGACACGTGTTGCACCGCCTAAGCGATGAACGCGACTGCTCCAAGAGTTTGCCCGCAGGCAGTTGGGCACATAATACCGCACCATATTCCATTACCATTACTAATACCACACACTTGGAGTTTGGTTGGTCTAGTGTAAGGTGATGGACGCGTGCCCCACGACTGCTCACCACGTACTCCATACACAATATTAACTATTCGTAATGTAATATATATTGAGGATACCATTATCTTCGTATGCTACCATACTAATCTTTCTATACATGCTTTTTGTAGGTGTGTGTGTGTGTGTGTGTGTGTGTGTGTGTATTCAAATGGTTGGGCTTAGCTGTGGTAGGCTTGCTATCAAGTATGGAGAAACCTAAAAGAAGAAATTTAGAGTGGAGGTAAAAAAAGGAGGAGCTTAGGAAAAAAATTTCAACCCTGGGTAAAAAATATACCTGTTAGATATATTTATTTAAGAAATTTTTTTTTTGGTGTTTGAAAAGGATTTTAAACAAGAAAAAAATTATTTCTTTTTTAATTTTTAAAAATTTTTAGTAAATTTTAATTTTTTTAATTTATTTCGTCTTTGATTTTTATTAAATTTTATTTTTAAAAATTATTTCTTCTTTTAAATATTTTTAATTTAAAAAAAAAATATTGTTTTTATTTATTTAGTTAAAAATATTAATAATTAATTTTAAATTTAATTTATTTCTTCTTTTATTATTAGACTTAAAATTTTTTTTTGTAACTAAAAGAAAATTAATGAATGGATAAAACAATAAGTAGAAAAAATAAAAAGAGTTATTCATACTTGAAACATTTCGACATTCTCAAACAAATTTACTATCAAAGTTAATAAGAATTGAGGAAGTAGGAGGAAAAATAACGCAATAATTCTCTGATAGTGAATATCTTCAAGGTGGGTCGTCGACTATTATCACAACAGTGTTATAAAATTTCAAAGATTAAAGATTATTATAAAAAAAAAAACTTGGTTTAATTCAATAGTAGTGCCATTGAACAATTAGAGAATTTTTTTCTGTAAATATATTTAAAAGGAAATCCTTTCGCTCCAGTTGAGTCGCAAAACAATTGTAGTAGTCAATATACGATAAATTAAAATAAAAATTCCTAAAATTAAATAATAAATAGTATATGAGGCATTAATCGTTGAAATTTTGAAAATAAAAAAAAAAAAATAGTTAAATACAAAAATTAATTTGACTCTTTCAAATCAGCTGCTAGTAACCTGTCCGTGATTTGGCAACGCTGTACTTCGGTTGTTTACATTTTCATTTGCACAATATAACCTTAACCACGTTTAAGTTTTTGCAGTCAGTGTAAATAAATAAATTAGTTTGAATTTATTGAATGGTCTGATGCTCACGCGCTACGCAACGTTGCCAAATGTTTTGACTCTATTTTAATGTAGATTACTTGAGAATTATTTGTGATTTTTAAATATTAATTTCTCAATAAATATCTCGGTAACTGATATATTTTATTGCAAAAAAAGAAACCTGAATATTTCGAAAATCTAATTTTTAGTTTTTTTTTTTTACTTCATCTAATCCATGACTGATAGTATAATTCGAGAAATACTGCAAACGTCTGACTTTCTCGTAAGACTCTGAACAAATACTAGCATTTAAAAATTTTATTTTTTCAAAAATTTGTCCGGTAAAGTATAATTTAAACCTCACTATTAGATAAATAAAGACCTTAACTATTAGAAAAAAATTGAATTTACTCATAATCTAATATTTTTTATTTTACATTGGCGGCGAAAGGACCTCCTTAATAGATAAAAATTGGCCTTTGTTTTTTCTAATGGAGCAATTAATAAAAATATTTTTTAGTATGAACGTAAATAAATATTTACTACAAAAGCCTATCAAATTAAAAGGTAATTAATAATCCAAGAAAAAATACGGTATTGAGTTTCATGAATAATGCAAGTGAGCATCCACTAAATTTTTTTTTTATAACTGTTGATCCTTGTTTAATTTGTACAAGTCAAGAGCATTAAAAGCCGGACAATTTTATCAGCCCTCATGTTAAAAATTCTGCGGGCACAGGTGATGAGAATAACTCACTCACACGGTTAATTATTTTTTCTTTTAATTCTAAGTAAATAATGAACGTTGTTTTTTATTTGGGCGACAGTTTACTTTTTAAATAGTTTCTTAATAGTAAATATTTTAATGGAAGTTAATATTTATTAATAATATTTAAAATTCACTCAATTTATTTATTTTTAAATGTAAGATAAAATTATTATTATAAATAAATAATAATATTTTACAATACTGCACTGAAAAAAAAGTTAACTTGAATCAAGATGAAAAATTTTTTAATTAAGTAAAACTAGTAACCTTGCAGTCACTATGTGACTGCCGTGACTTGTGAACTATAAATAAATAAAATTTTGTACTATTAAATAATGACTTTTGTTAAATTGCACTGTACTGTCTTAACCATTGACGTTTTTTAAGATATAAGCTCATTCCGATGTTACACTCATCAAGAGTTTTCATTTAACGTACCCACATGCTATTTTTATATTATTTTTCATATATTCATATATATAATATATATTTTTAAGATATAAACTCATCACGATGTTACACTCATCAAAAGCTTTCATTTGAGTACCCACATGCTATTTTTAGATATATTTTCCATATATATATATAAAATATATAAAATATAAATATATAAAATAAAAGACTATGTGACTGCCGTGACTTGTGAACTATAAATAAATAAAATTTTGTACTATTAAATAATGACTTTTGTTAAATTGCACTGTACTGTCTTAACCATTGACGTTTTTTAAGATATAAGCTCATTCCGATGTTACACTCATCAAGAGTTTTCATTTAAGTACCCACATGCATTTTTATATATTTTTCATATATTCATATATATAATATATATTTTTAAGATATAAACTCATCACGATGTTACACTCATCAAAAGCTTTCATTTGAGTACCCACATGCATTTTTGATATATTTTCCATATATATATATAAAATATATAAAATATAAATATATAAAATAAAAGTGTCAGATAGTTACCACCAACTTACCGACAACTTGCGGTCAACTTCCGAATTTGAAACTGTTGGCGTCAAGTTGGCTACAAGTTTCTGAGAAAAACAAGACCAATCTACTGCCGCAATATGTCGCCAAATTTCTCGAGAAACTTGTCGTCAACTTGGTGCGAAAGAGTTTCGAAAGCAATTTTTGCCGATAACTTGGCGACAACTTTGTGAACAACCGAGTTCATTTCTAAGACTTGCCGCCAACTTGGTGACAAGTTGCTGCAGCAAATCAACGGAAAGTTGCGACCGGTTTGGCTATCAGGGTGGGTTCATGTAAATGATGAACGCCTCTATGCTGCTCTTGAGCGACTAGATCTTTCGGACTTGGATAGCTCTGACTCAGTTGATTGTATGAATGCAGGTTTGCATCGTCATATTGCTAATATCATAGATGCAGTTGCTCCTCTTAAAGAGATTTGTATTCGAGACCAGCCAGCACCATGGATTAACCAGGATATCAGGACTTTACAGCGACGACGATCAAAACTGTACAGGATATTCAGAAGATCTGGATTTGCGTTCAATGAGTATGTTAATATGAGAAAAGTGATTAAGTGTAGAATTACAGATGCAAAGAAGCAGTACTTTAATCAACGGTTCCTTAACTGTAAAGACGCAAAATCATTGTGGAATTGTTTTCGTAAATTAGGACTAATTAAGTGCTCTGAGTCGAATATAAGTACGGATCTTGATTTATGTGGATTAAATAACTATTTTGCGCCTGATGAGCAGATAAATTACGATTATCTTGATGAGTGTGTATTAACTAGCAGGAGTGATTTTGTCTTCAATCATCTCGACTGTGAAACAGTAAAGAAAGCAATAACGAGATTGACCTCTAACTCGAAGGGTCCTGATGGATTTGAGATTGAGGCTTACAAGATATTATTGCCTTATTTCTTGCATCAAATCACGGAGTTATTCAACCTTTCTCTATCCACTGGTGATTTTCCATCGGCCTGGAGGAAATCTTATGTTCGATCTCTGCCAAAAGTGCGTAGTCCCGAAAGCTGTTCGGATTACAGGCCAATTTCGATACTTTGTGCTTTATCTAAAGCACTAGAAAGATGTGTTCATGACCAAATTGTGAACTACTTGGCTATGCATGATCTCGACGATAAGTATCAAACTGCGTTTCGGCCAGGGCTCAACACACAGGACGCAATATTAAAGCTTAGTGATGATGTTCGTGCAAGCATGGACTGTTCAATGGTCACGGTCACGGTGTTTTTTGACTTTAGCAAAGCATTTGACTCGGTTGTGTTTGATATTCTGATCTATAAGTTAAGAGCATTGGGTTTTGATGACATAGCAGTCAGCTGGGTAGTCTCATAATTGAAGGGACGGTCTCAAGCAGTGCGTGTAGACAGTATCGGAATTTCTACATGGAACAGTACAGTGAGTGGGGTTCCGCAGGGCAGTGTTCTTGGTCTGCTGCTATATTCGATTTACGTTGCCGACCTCGGTGATATTCTGAAACACTGTAATCATCTATTCTACGCGGATAATCTGGTTATTTATCTGAACTGTAAGCTCTGTGATATTGAACAATGTGTGGGCACTTTAAATAATGAAATTGCAGTGATTTCTGAATGGAGTGAGTACAACGGCTTAAAACTAAATACTAACAAGACTAAGTCAATGATTTTTGGTACAGCACAAAAGTTATCTGACCTCCGTAATGTTCAGGTACCAGCAATTAGGGTTAACAACGAACCAGTTGAATACTGCAATTCAGTGAAGTACCTGGGTGTGTTGCTTGATGATAACCTGAACTGGTCGTCACAAGTCACCGAAATATGTAAGAAGAGTATGAGGACGCTGGCGCAGCTGAAAATGCATAGCAAAGTATTTGATTTGTCAGTGAGAAAGCAACTAGTCACTACGCTAATTTTTCCTATTTTTGATTATTGCGCTGCAGCCCTTACCGACATCACTGGACAGAGAAATATCAGACTTCAGCGTAAGATAAATGCCTGTGTGCGCTTCATTTTTAAGATTTCACGGTTTGAACATGTAACGCCTTATTACAGTGATTTACATTGGCTATCACTCAAGTCCAGGCGTGAGTTCTTTCAGTCGTGCTTAATCTATAAAGCTTTCTATTTACATCAAAAACCGTTAATCCGGCAGAACTTATGTGCTTTAGAACCACGGTTTCGTAGAGGTGATGTTCGACAAGACTATTTAGTACTACCTAGCTGTCGCACGACGAAATATGACAAATCATTTATTGTCTCTGCAATCAGAGTTTGGAACAGGCTACCAGTGCAATGTACGTCGGCGCCAACATTTGTGGAATTTCGTAGATCTACTTATAACTACTTTTTGAGTGTGGATAGGTCATAAGCCATTGTGCAATTGATATTTGATATCTAAATTGATTTGACATTTTACTATAGTTTGAAATCTTGTCTATCGCGTTATATTATCTCATTATATTATTTGATTATTACATTACATTATATTATTAGTTAAATTTTTGTTACATGTAATTTGCAAGGAGGTTGAGTGATCAATGTTGATTGAACTGTTCGAATTTAATTTGGACCTTATAATATAACATATTTAATATTTAAATTTAATTTTATATCTACTTTTTATTTTTATTGTTTTGATAAAATGGTATACCATGTATTATTTTGTATCAATGAACGGCCGCAGGGAGTTTCGACTTCATGGTCGATGAATAAATAAATAATAATAATATATGAAAAATTGATGTGGGTACTCAAATGAAAGATCTCGGTGAGTGTAACATCGTGATGAGCTTATATCTTTAAAAATTTCAATAGTTCACAAGATATCTGTTAAATTGCACTGCACTTTCTTAACTATTGATATTTTTTCAGATATAAGCTCATTCTGATGTTACACTCATCAAGAGCTTTCATTTGAGTACCCACATGCATTTTTTATATATTTTTCATATATACATATACATATATATATATACAATATATAAAATATATGAAAAATTGATGTGGGTACTTAATTGAAAGGTCTCGATGAGTACAACATCGTGATGAGCTTATATCTTTAAAAATGTCAATAGTTCAAGACCTTTGCAATGACACTAAATTTAACTAAACAAACCAATTTTATCATATGACTATCGTGGACACAAAATTTTTCTTATTCAAAATTTTTTACTTGATTTAAGTTAATTTTTTTTTTCTGTGTAAAAACCAAAATTTATTAAAGATAGCACATTGCTGAAAAATCTATTGACTATAAAGGATTTCAATGGTTGAACAGTTTAAATAATGAATTAATTCATGAAAATTGATTGAAAATTAAATTGAATATTGATTGTTATTATAACTTTTAAATTATTATACTAAGTAAAAAAATGTATTAATCATAAGATTGTTGTAGAATAGCTAATGCTAAATTAATAAACCATTACATTGTCACAATTAATTTTTTCTCCAATTTAAAAAAATTTTTTTTAAGTAATTTATAAAATATAACGCATAAATAATTGCAAAATGAAAATTACAAAAGTGTATCAGCTAAAGACAATAATTATAGGTGCAATTAAAAACAACATCGTAAAAGTTAATTATTTAAAAATGATAACAAAAATACATACATATATTAAGTATATAAATTGTATGACACACATTTTTAATGACTCATCGATAATTTAGTGTATTATATACTCGTATGTTCATTGTCCTTCGTACCGTTATTAATATTATTATATTGATAAAATAAAAATTATTGCTAGCAGAACATTTTAACTGACCTGTCACGACTCGATAGGAAGACCAATTATAAGGAGGTATGAATATACTCGTGAACTAAATAATATTAGTTACACAACCTTCTAAGTAAGTTAACTAAAAAAGAAGAGATATTGATAGCTAAGAGGCGTAGTTTATATGTTTTTAGGTAATTTTCATTGATAGAATTAATAGAATAATTCATTGATAGAATTAATTCATTGAGGGTTATTTTCATTGATAGAATTAATTCATCAAGGGTTGTTTTTTTTAGGTAATTTTCATTGATAGAATTAATTTCATTGAGTATTGTTTCTTCAACCCTAAATGAATTAATGCACCAACAAGTTTTAATTTGTTTTTTTGTTAATAACAATAACGGAAGAATTTATTAGCTCAATTGTCATAAGGGTTCAACTCGGTAGGGATCAAAACGATCATTTACGACTTATAAATTAATTAATATATCTTCTCATATCATACGATTCTTCGATTTAGTTTTCGTTATTGCCACAGGAGTTCTCGTAAAAATAATAGTAGAGAGAACATTTAAATGGAGATTTAATTTGTTGATAGATTATCGATGGTTATCATACTCCAGTAAATTATTATAGTACTTCTTCCTGATCCCCTAGATTTCTAGGAATCAATTTATATTTTATGAAGAAATTATTTTTTTTAAATTAAACTTTGATAAAAAAAAATTCATTTGATTTAAGGGAAAAAATTATTGAGACTAACTAAAGCTAAAAAAAATTATTTAAAAGAAGAAATACTTAAAATTAGTAAATATATCAATAAAGAATACTAGGATTTATATTTTATAAAAAAATCATTTGTAAAAAACTTAACTTTTTTTAAAAAATTCATTGTATTTAAGGAAAAACATTATTGAGACTAATTGAAGCTAAAAAAATTTTTTTTCAAAGAAGAAATAGTTAAAATCAGTAAATATATCAATGAAGAATACTAGAGTTTATATTTTATGAAGAAATAATTAAAAAAAAATTTTACTTTGATAAAAAAATTCATTTAAATTAAGGGAAAAAATTATTGAGAGTAACTGAAGCTAAAAAAATTATTCAAAAGAAGAAATAGTTAAAATCAATAAATATATCAACGAAGAATATATTGTTAAATCTATAAGACATTAAAAATTAAAATAATATGCAAAGTGTCGATAAAACCAAAAGATTTATGAGTATTAATACCTCAGCGTTGCAGATGTGAATCGAGTCAAGGGTTAAATGTCTATTTGGATAAAATTTCTGACATGGATAGACAGGAAACGGAAGAGACATTACTACAGAACAGCCTGATGCTTTCTGTTGACCTTTTTGAATAGATCGGGAGACATCGATGGCATTGGACTTATATATGTTGACCAATCCTTTGTTGATCGTAGATACGATAAAAAACCACATATAAAATAAAATAAAATAAAATAAAATATTCTTCTTTTAATAAATTTTAAAAACGATGATCCTATTTTATAGCTACAAATCATCAAGTATTAACTGTTGTTGTTTGTTTAACTTCCCACAGGTTGCGTGTAATTACAAGTGATTGTATAATTGGCCACGCATATGCAGAGGACATTAGAATTGGAAAAATATACAATTTTTATTTTTATAGAAAGAAGAAATCCATTATGGAGAGACTAAAAAACGAGCAACCTCAAAGTCGGTTTGTTGAATTTAAACACAATGTAGGGATCTATCCCTAGAATTTGTATGTATAATTAATAGTATTTGTTGTACAATAAAACTCAAATTTTCGAACAAGATAAAGAACTTCAGTAAATATATAATATTACATAATATTATATCTTTTTATTAACTCTAATTTTTAAAAGGAAATTCTTACCTCGCGACCGCGAACATTTGATTCCACCACTGCGTTCTGCAACTCGCAATTTTGCCGGCGAAGAACTGAAATCTGGAAGAAAAATAAAAATTTTAGACCTGTAAATTTATTTGTATACTCAAGTGAAAAACAAATTAAGAAAAAGGCTGAAAAACATAAATATAAAAGGCTGGAATAATAAAAAAAATTTAAGTTTAAAGGAAGTCCGGTGGTTTACTATATAACCCGGGAGGGAAGAACGTACGATGCGTCGTCTCTATTTACTTTGTTTATCTCTAGTTTGTATTGTGATAAAACGCAACTACTTCACCAGGTATTTTCGTTCGCTTTTATATATTATATATCTTCAACACATTTCTTGTCTCTGTTATAGATCAGACGGCTACGACTAAACCCAAGCTTTTGAGTGTTTCATTGAGCTCAGGAGCGAACAGAGAATTATCGTTTCCCTAGGTTATTTTTTAAATTATATATTTAATATAATATTGAATAGATTTTTTATTCTTACTGGATGTATACTTGATATAAGAATAATACTCAGCACAATCAAGTAGTCGGATTACGTTTGTGAGACAGTTGAGTAAGCGCAAATCCCGATTATTTTATTACACTGAATAATTATTATCTTCTATGTAGATATTTTTATATCAGAGAAATTTAAAAATAGAAATTCATAATGAAGTTTTATTTTTTAAATAGAATTTTTTTTTTTTTTATTTAGTAGAAAATTAAATTTCTTCTCGGCATAATCATAAATTGATGTTAATTTTTTTTTAGAAAAAAATTATTTCTTCTTTAATTTTTAAAAATTTTAATTGTTTTAATTTATTTCTTCTTTTAAATATTTATAATTATATTCAAATTATATTTTTGAAATAAATATTGATTGTATTTTTAATTATTTATTTAGTTAATAAATATTATGATTGTTTTTAAATTTAATTTATTTCTTCTTTTAATATTAAGATTAAATTTTTTTACTTGAAACATTTGAAATGTAATTTTTAGCTTTTTAAAAATATAAATTAAAGAAGAAAAAAATCATACCAAACCTGTCTTTGAACACAAAAGAAATGACTCGTTTTATTATATAAATTGAATATAATATTTCACAACAGATAAGTGATTATGAGGAAAGGATTAATGTATAAAATGATAAGGATATGTTTGATTTACACTCAGTCACGATTATTAAGGGATATGCAACATCTGTTAGGATATTTTCCAGTTGAGTTACCTTCGTTATCGATATTAAATTTATCGGAGCATATGTCCAAGGGACATAAGATACTTTTTATTATGTTAAAAATCAGGATACCGATATTTTAAAGTAAACTTATTTGCTCAGCCTTTTTACTCCATTTTTTCATTTTATCCTATTGATAAAATATGATTGATGTGACTTTTATATATATATTTATTCATTAGCCCAGAGGATATTTGAGTTAATAATTAAAATCAAGGAAATTTATCTTTACATAGCTTCGTAAAATATTTTATAGAAAAAAAAGGAAGAAATGAAACTGTTTAAAATATATTTCTTCTTAACCTGTTCAGAAAAATTAATTAATAAATAAATAAAAATTTCAAGTTACCTCAGCATCTCTTGAATTTAATAAATCTTGTAATTGAACACATTTAATATTAGCTTCTTCCAGTAATTTTGCCTGTTCGTCTGCAAAATAAAAATGACAATACAATTAGGTGGCATTTAGCAATTTTTTATTTTTTTAATTAATAAAAATAAAAAGTAAAAAAATGTTTTTTAAAAATTGCACTTAAAATTTTAAAAATTTTCTTCATGCCAAATTTTTTAATTTTAATTTTGTTTTTTAATAATAAAATTCTAAAAATTTTCAAATTTCAGCTGATTTAATTTACATTAATAAGTGACACTAAAATTAGGTGACATTTAGCAATTTTTTATTTTTTTAATTAATAAAATAAAAAAATGTTTTTTAAAATTGCATTTAAAATTAGAAAAATTTTCTACATGCCAAATTTTTTTATTTTAATTTTGTTTTTTAATAATAAAATTCTAAAAATTGTCAAATGTCAACTGATTTAATTTACATTACTAATTGACACTAAAATTAGGTGACATTTAGCAATTTTTTATTTTTTAATTAAGGAGGTTCTTTCGCCGCCAATGTAAAATAAAAAATATTAGATTATGAGTAAATTCAATTTTTTTCTAATAGTTAAGGTCTTTAATTTAATCTAATAGTGAGGTTTAAATTTTTTAATAATAAAATTCTAAAAATTGTCAAATGTCAACTGATTTAATTTACATTACTAATTGACACTAAAATTAGGTGACATTTAGCAATTTTTTATTTTTTAATTAAGGAGGTTCTTTCGCCGCCAATGTAAAATAAAAAATATTAGATTATGAGTAAATTCAATTTTTTTCTAATAGTTAAGGTCTTTATTTATCTAATAGTGAGGTTTAAATTATACTTTACCGGACAAATTTTTGAAAAAATAAAATTTTTAAATGCTAGTATTTTTTCAGAGTCTTACGAGAAAGTCAGACGTTTGCAGTATTTCTCGAATTATACTATCAGTCATGGATTAGATGAAGTAAAAAAAAAAACTAAAAATTAGATTTTCGAAATATTCAGGTTTCTTTTTTTGCAATAAAATATATCAGTTACCGAGATATTTATTGAGAAATTAATATTTAAAAATCACAAAAAATTCTCAAGTAATCTACGTTAAAATGGAGTCAAAACATTTGGCAACGTTGCGTAGCGCGCAAGCTTCAGACCATTCAATAAATTCAAACTAATTTATTTATTTACACTGACTGCAAAAACTTAAACGTGGTTAAGGTTATATTGTGCAAATGAAAATGTAAACAACCGAAGTACAGCGTTGCCAAATCACGGACAGGTTACTAGCAGCTGATTTGAAAGAGTCAAATTAATTTTTGTATTTAACGATTTTTTTTTTTTTTATTTTCAAAATTTCAACGATTAATGCCTCATATACTATTTATTATTTAATTTTAGGAATTTTTATTTTAATTTATCGTATATTGACTACTACAATTGTTTTGACTCAACTGGAGCGAAAGGATTTCCTTAATAAAAAAATATTATTAAAAAATTGAAAAATTTTTTATTTAATAATATTTTTTAATAAATAAATAAAACAAGTTCCATGAAGTTCAACCAGAAAATTAAAATTCCCGCTGCACCATATGATTGATCAATCGGTACAGCAGAGGAGTATTTTGACAGAACGTAGGAGGGATAAGAAAATATAAACAAATAAAATAATCATCTTGATTAAATAAATATTTAATTAAACAATCAACATACCAGTATCACTGACGACGCTTTCAGAAAGAACTTCCTTGGTAAAACTAGTAATCTGTCCTTTTAAATTAGATAAGCTAGAAAGTCCATCACCGAACCACGCCATTTTACACGTCGACACTTATTGTCCTGCTTGTTGACAATTATCCTTATTATTTCCACAGCTGTTTAAGGCAACAATATTTCACGGTAAATAAACTTTTCACTATTTAAAATAATATATTGTTACTTAAAATAGTATAAATTGACTCTACAAGACTTACACGTCATACTATACATCACACATATACATATCACAACACCATGTGATAAACTGTAACGTAAAAACCCACTTTATTAAAAACCGGAATTCATTTTATCATGAGTAAGTACTGTCACTATTTCACTATTATTTTATTATTTACTTTTAATTGATAAAATCAAAATGTCAAGGTACACAGCTGATTATGAAAATTAAGTTAGCCGACATTTAAAAATTTTTTTTATTAAAAAAATTATTACAAAAAATTTCATTTGTAATAATAAACTTGAAATACTTTAATTGCAATTTTTTAAAAATATTTTTTTTTTCTAATTTTATAAATGGAAAAAAATAAAAAAATTAGATGACATTAAAGTTAGCAGCCACTAAATAATTTTTCAATTTTTTTTTAAATAATATTTTGGTCCAAAATATTATTTTTAAAAAATTGCATTTTTAATTTTTTTTAATTTCTACATGTCAATTTTTTTGTCATTGTTTATTTGTGAAAAAAATTATCAAATACTTATCTGCTAAATTAATTTTCATAACAATTATAAGAAACGTCGCTAGTTTCGTTGTATACTATATATATTTGATGAATGTGCTGCCACTCGGTGGAAATTTGCGTTACTCTAAAGAAGAAGAAGAGAGGTTAGGAAAATCTTTTAATTCCTGATCAGCGTTAGCGTGAGATCGGATCTCTCGGTGTGGGACGTGTAAAATGGCGAAAAAGACCTTTGCTGACAAGGACAAGAATAATCAGAACGATGACCCAGCTGAGAATAACGAAGACGAGGAGCCGAATTTTAGTGACCCCGAGGATTTTGTTGATGATATTGCTGATGAAGGTAAAAACTAGTTATTAATTATTTTTTCAATAACTAGCATGGCTCCGTACCACGGGAGACGTGGCACGCGGTATAACCAAACTTGCTTTCGACATTCTTTCCACTAAGTATATTTATAAATTTGTCTTATATATATCTTAGTTGAATTTATATTTGGGTTAAGTATACTCACTCTATTTGTAATTTTGAGCAGATCTACTGCCGGATATTCTAGCGCAAAAACCATCGGAGACTGACGGCGTTGAGTCGGTGATTGTCGTCGACGGCACGCCCCAAGTTGAGCCTGAGCGTCTGGAAAAATTCAACACTCTTACCAACAAAGTTTTTGGAAAGTTTGGGACTATTGTTAATAGATTTTATCCCAAGAATGATAAGGAAATTACCAAAGGGTAAATTAAGTATATTAAATATAAAAATTTTCATTATATTTTTTCATGAAAATTAAGTTAGCCGACATTTAAAAATTAAAAAAAATTTTTTATTGAAAAAATGAATACAAAGAAAAAGAAAAAGAATTGTCAATTATTAAAAACTTAAAAAACTGTAAGTGCAATTTAAAAAAAATATTTTTTTCAATAATGAAAATTAAATTAGCCGAAATCTCAAAATTTTTATTATTTTTTTTTTTATTAAAAAAATTTCACCTGTAAAAGACTTAAAAAATTATACGTGCAATTTTTTAAATTATTTTTTTACTTGCTATTTAATTAATAAAAAAAAAATCAAAAATTATTGAACCTCGGCTAATTTTAGTAATGAAAATTAGCTTACATTTAAAAATTAAAAAACATCTCTGTTTATTAAAAAAAATAAAAAGAAATTTTCATTTAAAAAAAAAAAATGAAAAACTTAAAGTGCAATTTAAAAAAAAATTTTTTAGTTTAAATTTAATAATTAAAAAAAATTAAAAACGTCGGCTAACTTTACTATCATATTTTAGTACAATTTTTAAATACTATCTTTATAAATAATCCAGGTACATTTTCTTGGAGTACAACAGCCCATTGCACGCAGCAGCAGCTGTAAAAGCCACCAACAACTACAAAATAGATAAGCAGCATACCTTCAAAGTAAACTTATTCACCGACTTCAAGAAATACGAGCAAATCCCAGAAGAGTGGGAGCCTCCGACCCCGCAACCTTACAGCGCAGCCCACGACTTGCACTACTATCTCCTCGAACCCGACGCGTATGACCAGTTCGGAGTTCTCTGCGGCAACGGAGCCGGAGTGTCAGTCCAAATTTGGCTGAACTCAGCTCCAGAGCCAACCCTGATAGAAGAGCGTGCTCGCTGGACCGAGACTTATTTCAAATGGTCTCCACTAGGAACTTACCTGTCAACCTTCCACAAGCCAGGAGTTGCTCTTTGGGGAGGTCCTAAATTCGAGCAACAAGCTCGATTCAGCCAGAGCGGAGTCGAGTGTATCGACTACTCTCCTTGCGAGCGCTACCTAGTGTCTTACACTCCACGAATGGACGGTGGTCCTGACCAAAAGCGTCTCGTCATTTGGGACATCCTCACTGGTCACGAAAAGCGTTCGTTTTTCCCCGACGGGTCCTCAGTGTGGCCGATTTTCCGCTGGTCTCATGACGACAAGTACCTAGCTTGTATGGGCGAAGACATCCTGAGTGTCTACGAGACACCTTCTTTTGGACTTCTTGATAAGAAGAGTATCAAAACTCCCGGAATCCGGGACTTTAGCTGGTCTCCGACTGACAACGTTCTTGCTTATTGGGTCCCGGAGGACAAAGATGTCCCAGCTAGGGTGACTTTGTTGGAGATACCCAGCCGCAATGAGATAAGAAATAAAAATCTGTTCAATGTCGCGGACTGCAAGATCTTCTGGCAAAAATCTGGAGACTATTTGTGTGTCAAAGTCGACCGGTTTGCTAAAAAGAAGGAAAAAACTGAGCAAAAGTACACCGGAATGTCGTACAACTTTGAGATCTTCCACATGAGAGAGAAGCAAATTCCCGTAGACAGTGTCGAGATGAAAGAGCCGATTCACGCTTTTGCTTGGGAACCAGTTGGTAGCAAATTCGCGATTATTCATGGAGAAATTCCTAGCGTTAATGTCAGCTTCTACGAAGTAAGTTACGGACACCAGCCGGCTTTGCTGAAGAAATTGGAGAAGAAAGCATGCAACCACTTGTTCTGGTCACCTGCTGGGCAGTTCATTGTCTTGGCCGGGTTAACCACTATGGCTGGCGCTTTGGAGTTCATTGACACCAATGATTTCACTATCATGAACTCGACAGACCACTATCAAACTTCGGACGTCGAGTGGGACCCCACTGGCCGGTTTGTTGTCACTGCTGTGTCCAACTGGAAGACCAACGTTGACAATGGCTACTGGATCTGGACCTTCCAGGGGCGGATTTTGAAGCGTGTTAATTTGAATGCGTTTAATCAGTTACTTTGGAGGCCTCGTCCGCCAACTCTGTTGACTCCTGAGCAGATCAAGGAGATCAAGAAGAATTTGAAGAAATACTCCGCTCAGTTCGAGAGCAAGGATAGAATGCGGCTCACCAAAGCTTCTAAGGAGCAGATTGAGAAACGCTGCGCTTTGATGAAGGCCTTTAATGAGTACCGCGAGAAGAGGATTGAGGAGTGGAATAGTCAGAAGAAGCGACGCATGGAGTTGAGATATAATATTGATACTGATAATCTGGATTCAGATACTAAAAATGTTGAAGAGGAAGTTGTGGAATTTTTTGTCAAGGAGGAAATTATTCCTATTGACGACAAGTAAATCATTATTGGAACTTTTTGTCTTTACCCACTTGCGGTTTTTATACTCGTCAGGTGGGTATTCTATTGGGGAGATTAATGATGCGCTGTAACAAAATAATGGTTTTAATTTGGCGAGTTTTAATGAGTTTGATTTACCACTCTAATGTGGTCCTAGGTGTACTTTATGGTAATTTCAATTTTTACAAATTTTATCACTTTACTTATAGAATATCATACTTGATTTTTTTTTTTTTTTTTTTTTTTTTTTTATATATTTAGCTCTAAATTATTTTAATAAATTAACACAAATCAAAGTTTATAAACTTAAAATTTTTAATTTTAATTTATTCAAATTTAAATAGTTTTTTTTTGAAAAATTTTATTTTATTGGTTAAAAATATTTTAAACTCAGGAATAATATTTGATCCAGTTTTTTTGATTTTTATGTTCTCACTTTTAACAATATGCAATATTTGATTTTTATGTGCTCACTTTTAACAATCTGCAATACTGTGTTCACAATTTAAGTAAACTGTTAAATATAATGATAATGATGTAAAGCGATGAAATTTTCAATAAAAAGTTTAAAAAATAATTGATACCTATTTTTAAAAAAAGTTTTTTATTTAAACTCGATAATTATTTTAAAAAAAGTATCGAAATAAAAATACTGCAGCGTAAACCCAAGTTGGAGCTATTCGATCCTGCTGAGCCAATGAAGTGCTGGTAACTTTCTGTGAAGTTTTGTACAATCTATCGTATTCTTCATGCAAATCGTTTTGTAGTTTATCATTTTTTGTTACTATGGCTATCTGGGTTTCTAGATCACGATTTACTGATCGATAACCTGCGATAGATAAAAATTATATTAATATTAAACATAATTAAAATTTGGTCAATTTAAAATTAAAAAAAAAATAATTTACCAAAATTTGATGAACCGATTAAAGTAAAAGAAGGTTTTTTGTGATTTGGTAAAGTATACCAGAGACCTTTGGCATGGTATGTCCAGCCACTACGAACATACTCTCGCAAATTGATACGTTCATGAATTCCCAGACGTTCGCAAGATTTATAAAATGACTTTTCTATTAAAGTATACGCTGCTGGAATTCCACCGGCTACTCCTTTGGCTCCTATTTTTTTTTTTTTAAATAATTTTTATTAATATTTAAAATTTTGAATAAAAAATAAAATCTTAATTACAAACCAAAGAAACCATTAGCCGTCGGATGAGCAGTGAGTAGTTGGACTGAAGCTTTGCAGTCCCGTATCAAGGCACTTGAGTACTCAGCCGTCAAATTAAAGTACCCTGTCGCGAACCTGAGGCTAGCTCCTGGAGGCGCGGTTTTTAATAATCTCAGAGTGATTTCGTTATCATGATAGATTCCAAGCTGGCCCATTTGAATCAGCGGATATACCCACGTGTCTGTGCTGGTGTCACTGGCAGCTTGACGCTTATCCAATTCATTGAAGTAAAACTTACGGATCCGGCTTTGAGCTGCTGATACAAAGTCCGCAGTTGAACTTTCAAACGGGTGAGGACTCGACTTGGTGTCGAAGGAGGTTGAGCTATCAGGTAGCAATCGGAAACTGAATTCTGATACTTGGGATATTAAATCGTTGTAAAAATCACATAATTCTTTGCAGTCTTCGATAAGAAAGTAACGATCTTGTCGGTTCATGAAGTAGTCGTTACTCAAATTAGCTCTGTAAATTATAGATATATTATTTTGAGAATTGCTGGAAAAAATTGTAAACTTACCCGCTGATAATAAGAGAATCATCAAAAATATAAACTTTCATATGTTGCAATCCTATTAATTCATTAAAGCGATTTGGTATAAACTTCTTGAGTAAGCCCCGTAATTTTGGAGTATGATATAAGTGTACTTTAATATTTTCAACCCATTGGCCCTTGAGTAAGGGTTCCAACATTGTTCGGGAATTTTTTTGACCACGCGAACCTCTCATGTAATCCAATAGGATATTTACTTTTAAGTGACCATTGCTTGAATTGACTGATTTTTCTATTGCTTGAACCTGATAATAATAATAATCATAATTATTTTTTAGTCTTTTAGTATTCAATTTATTAATAATGACATTGAAATTATTTTAAAAAATATATATTTATATGTTAAACAATTTTTTTAAATTATCAAATGTCTCTCAATTTCAGTATCATTATTAATGAATTGATTAAAAAATTATTTAAGATATTTTGTACCATCATAATGGTACATACGAACCTACCAAATCCCCTTCAAGTTTTCCAGTTCCCAAATAAAGAGATGCCAGTGTTATTCTTCTTTCAGCTCGCTTGCATTTTTCTATCAAAGTTGAATAAAATACTGTTGGTTCATGAATTACAGTGACCTGAGTTAAAAATACATTTTTTATTACAAGTAATTACATGACATTGAAGTTAGCAGTAACTTGACTATTTTTTAATTTTTTTTTTAACAAATAAATTTGTTCCAAAAAATTATTTAAAAAAAATTACATTTTTCTTCTAATTTTTTTTACCATAATTTACTTGCTACACAAATTTTTAAAATGATCAAATATCTGCTATATTAATTACTTAAGGTATTAAAATTAAAAATTAAGTAAACATACTTTGGAAGCATTGACAGGAAAAATAGGCGCTGACTTTTTTAGCCATGAAAAAAATTCCATAGAATCCCAATCATTTTTATTTTCCAACCGCATATCAAATTCACTACCTGTCATTACTGCTGGGTTAATTTTGATATTTGTAACTCTCCGATGTATGACAGTCAATTGCATAAATTTATAATTAAAGAACCTACAGCTGTAATAATAAAGCTTATTTAATTACCGGCTTAATTAATGTTCAAAAAAAAAAACACAGTAAGTAAACAATTGCATCATCTACCTGCAATCTTTGCATACAAATAAACTAATTAATAACTTAATATTAATTAATTAATAAAATAATAATAATAATACACAAACCGTTTAATTAAGTTATTCATGAGTAATTATTATTATTATTAACTCCAATACATAAATCCAAAATTTAATTTCTTTGAAACACACGTGGACTGAGATAAACTCATTATTTGTGTTTGTTATTTCAATATATATATTTTTATTGATTAATTTCAAACACCGTGTGTGATTATAATTATGTTGACCTATAATAAACAATTTTATAAATAAAATTATATGGTAAATTATTTTTTTATTTTTAATTAATCAAATTTATTTATATATTAATGTTTTGATAAAAGTAAAAATTATTTTATTTTTTTTATTTATTGGAGAAATATTGAAAACTTTTTTCAAGTTTTCAATCAGCTGTCAAAAAATTGTTCATGAAAATTCGCCTTAAGCTTCTGCTGAATTAAATTAAAATTAAATGTGTGTTAGTAGGGTTAGGTATGAATACACTGACAAACACAAACGTAAGCTGTTACCTTCTGCTCTCTATCCTGTTGAAGAATGATTCAGCAAAATAGTTATAATTATAAAGACGAAAAACGGAAAGAAAAAGCTTTCCTGGATTCTTGTGGCATCGTAACTTGAACCTTAAAATGGAAGGAAGACGCTCTGTTAAAATGGTAATTATTTAATTATTATTTATTCGCTGATATTTAAATTCACGGGAAGAACAGCTGATATTTTCTTGACATTTGGAGTTTAGTGTGTGTGCAATATAAATGTAGGTGTGTGCATGTGTGTGGTTAATATGTTTGTGAGTAACTTATTGTTATTATTTAGAAAATATTTATTTCATTTTGAAGAAAAAATAATTTTATTAAATTTCAATAAATATCGTAACATAAATAATAATAATAATAATAATATATTGATAAATGTCAAAAATAAAAATTGTTTTATTTAAATTGAAAAAAACAAAATTTTTTTTTTAACTCACAGTCAAATGTCAAAAAATAATAATATTAATAATAATAATGTCAGCTGACATTTTTGATTTATTAAATTTGCTTAATTTATTAAATTAAAACTAAAAAATATTTTTTTAAAAATGCACTAACAGTTTTTCAAATTTTTTACAAATGAATTTTTTTGTAATAATTTTTTCAATAAAAAAAATTATGATACTAAGGTTAGCCGACGTTTTTAATTTTTTGATTTGTTTTTAATAATTAAATTAGAACAAAAAGATATTTTTTAAAAATTGCACTCACAGTTTTTCAAGTTTTTAACAAATGACAATTTTTTTTTCTTTTTTTTTTTTGTTGTCATTTTTTCAATAAAAAAAATTTTTTTAATTTTTAAATGTCTGCTAACTCAATTTTCATAAAAATATTAATCATTTTATAAAATTATTCTTAAAGTAAAAAATTATAATTTATAATAATAATTTTTGTTAATTAAGCAGGATCCAATATCACCAAGCCCCTGCTTGGACATAAGCGACGACGAGCTAGTGACAATATCAGTCCGTGACTTGAACCGCCAACTGAAACTGCGTGGACTATCCCGCGATGAAATCGTGCGAATGAAACAACGCAGAAGAACATTGAAGAACCGAGGATACGCTGCCAGCTGCAGGACTAAAAGACTCGAGCAGAAAGACGAGCTGGAAACAGAAAAAACTCAGGAAATTCGTGACATGGAGTTGATGCAAGAAAACAACGAATTGATGCGCAAGGAAATTGAGACCTGGCACTCCAAGTACTTGGCATTGAAGAGATTCGTTGCTGAGAGAAAAATTCCTATTCCTCATGAATTAGAAAATATTTAATTTTCATCTGCAATTCTTCAGATTAATTCATTTTTTTCATAAATATTAAATATTTAGTTCATTAATTTTAGAAAACAACTTTTAAGAATTTTTATAATCAATCAATTATAAAAAAAAACATTTAATTAATAATAATTAAATAAATTATAATTTAATTTAAAGGTAAACGGGTGTAAATTTATGTAATAATATTAAGTATAAAAAATTTTTATTAAAAATATTTATTTGTTAATAAAATAAATATTTAAATTTAAAACATAGGTAAATATTAATTAACATTTCTTATTTTTATAAATTTGAATCAGGTACATAGTCTAAAAGGATAATTAACAGACTAACAATATGAACGTTGATAGAATTCCCAATTAATTTATACCTTTGCCGCTTGCTTATGGTACTAGGGAAGGTAAATTTATCAGGAAAACACATAAGTCTTGATACTTCACTGGGTGTAAAATAACGCAGCCTTAAACTTTTAATAATATCCAAATAATTAATCAATTGTTCATTATTTTTTAGCTCATAAATTTTTTCCTCAACGTCCGAGCTGAGCAATGGAGAAAAAACTGACCCAGTTCCTTCAGCATAACGTCCATAAGCTGAAGTAAAGCAACAAGATCCTTTTGAGTCTGGACTTCTAATGTCCAGTACTTTAACATACTTATTTAATATCGACTCTGGTAAGTTGTACTCTTGAGTGTCAATGTCATTAGAGTTGGAGACAATTTCGCTCAATTTAATGCAATCATTTGTGAGGTACTCAGGATGTTTGTTCTTGAACGTTTTGAACCTTTGCGATTTTGGCAAAAGTTCCAGAATTAAATCAGCAGTTATGTCTGACGAATATTTGGACAAGCAAAATGGCAAGTCATTTTTTTTCGCAATTAAAAAGTACCTGGACCTGCTGTTAGGAACTCCGAAATCACTCGGGCTTAAAATACACTCGCGGTAATTAAACCCGATATTTTGCAAACAGGAAATTAATATATCACGCGACACTGACTTTGAAAAGGGTTCAACATTTTCTAATAATATATACTTTAAATTTTTTAATTGGGGAATTAATTCTAGAATGTGGAAAAAAGATATCGTCCTGGCATCCTCGATGTCTTTCTGAAGACCGTTTCGGGTAAAAGGCTGACACGGCGGGCTCATAAATATACTGTCTATCTTTAGATCTTCAATGTCTTTTACTGTCAGTGAACCGATGTTCCTGTTGATTAGTTTTGTTGATGGAAAATTGTGCTTGTATACTTCATTGGCTACTGTGCTAATTTCAATTGCAGCTACTATTGTTCCTGGTACTCCGCTTTCTGTGAGAAAGATAAATAATAATGTATATTATTAAGAGAATAAGAAAAATTTTGTGTCATTGCAAAGGTCTTGATTTAAATTTTTGCCTTTCCAAGGTTTCATATCATTCTCACCAGTAGTTAATTTATTATGATAAGTATTTAGGCTACATACGAAAATTTATCTCTAGATACATAATTAAGAAATGACCTTGTATCTTGAGAACTATTGTCATTTTTAAAGATATAAGCTCATCCCGATGTTACACTCATCGAGACCTTTCATTTGAGCACCCACATCAATTTTTCATATATTTTATATATTTATATATATTATATATATGTATATATGAAAAATATATCAAAAATGCATGTGGGTACTCAAATGAAAGCTCTTGACGAGTGTAATATCAGGATGAGCTTATATCTTTAAAAATGTCAATAGTTAAAAAAGTACAGTGCAATTTAACAAAAGTCATTGTTTAATAAAAAAAAGTTTTTACTTATTTATAATTCACAAATCAAGGCAGTTACTTATTGACTGCAAAGTTGCTAGTTAATCTTATTGTTTAAAACAATTACTGAAATTAAAAAGCATCTGTAAGTTTTTAGATTTTTATAAGATCAACTAAACTTTAATAAAAAAATCCTCCTGCAAAAAAAAAAAAAATTATACTTGTAAATTTTTTTTTTAATATAAATTATTGTAAAAACAAATAATTAAAAAAATTTTTATGTCAACAACATTTTAAAAACTTACTTTCAAAAGCATAGTGCATTCCACCAATTCCTGAATAAAGTTCTAAAACTCTCATGATTAATTTCCGTTTTTCATCAGTTAAATGAATAAATAAAAACTTTATCTGTGACAAGATAAACAATAATAAAATTCATAAATATATGCAATTATATAACATTGATACCCATCAGACAGCAAACAGCAAACACATGTGTATGGTATAACCTCAAAAAAATCTAAGCACAGTAGGTACAGTAGTTTTTTAAAAAATAAATATCACCTGTCAAAAATTTAAAATTGTAAAAATTAAAAATGACAATTTCCAATTTTGAATCAAAATTAAATAATAATAATTTTAAATAATGACAAAAAAAATTTTTAGTGAATTTTTTGATCACTTACCGACGATTTGACATGACTTACATGTGGACTACATAAACTACATCTACTGTGTGATTGGCGACCCAATGAAAACTAACCTCCCCTGATGTTTGTATTTAATGACGTTGTTGCTCAAGAACAAGAAACGTGAATAATATTTTCAATCTCATGTCGCGAATAAATGACAAAAATCAAACAAAATCATCAGATAATATGTACACAACAGTTGGAACTTATTTATAAATTTTTTTTTTATCAATATGTCAATTAAAAAATGTGAAGGCAGACCATACAAAATACGGAGAGTTAATATTCAAGTTATAAATTGCAAGGAATAAAAAATATAATTGATGGAATGTGATAAAAAAAATTGCTTGATTAATAAAAAAGTTATTATTTATTCCGAGCAATAAAGGTGGTTAGTGACGATGTATGACGATGATTATCAGATAAAAAAATTAATCATAAGGATAAAACACTTACGACTATGTCTAAACTGATGACTTGGCTAGTCTATTTATTAGCTAATAATCATTGATATTTAATAGATAAATATTTTGTTTTTATTATTACTATTTATAAATTATATTGTGATCATGTTTCGGAGTCGCAGTTGGTTTGGTGGTGGTCTGTGGAAACCCAAAAATCCACATTCGCTTGAGCATCTCAAGTAAGTCTCTTTTTATATTTAAAAAAAATTTATTAAATATTAGATAGTATTTTTTTTTAAATTACTTACTTGTTATTTTTATTTCAGATATCTTTATAATGTCTTATCGAAAAATCAAACAGTGTCTGACAACAATAGAGGTCTACTTGTTGAAACTCTCAGATGTATTGCTGAAATTTTAATCTGGGGAGATCAAAATGATAGCAGTGTCTTCGAGTGAGACATTTTTTAATTTTTATTTATTAAAAAAAAAATCTTAATAAATAATTAAGACCTAAAAAAAATCAAAACTTAATTTCTTTTTAATTAATGACATAGTCTCATTATCTTATGACATAATACAGCTTGAGAGCTGATAGATAAATTACTAGAAACAAAGAAATTTTTTTTTTTATTAATTTAAAGATTATTAAACAAAGAAAAGTTTTTAAAATTTTACTTATTTAATATGATAATTGAAACAGTAAATATTTAAATGAAAATTAAGTTAGCTGACATTTAAAAAATTTTAGAATTTTTTTTAATTGAAAAATTATTATAAAAAAAAATTTTCATTTGTAAAAAACTTGAAAAACTATAAGTGCAATTTTTAAAAAATATTTTTTAGTTATAGTTCAATAAAAGAAAAAAAATAAAAAAATTAAAAATGTCGGCTAACTTTAGTATTATAATATTTAAAAATGTATTATATTAAAATTAGCTGAAAATTTTTTACAAATTTTTATAAAAAAAAAAGTTTTAAAAAATTTCCACTTATAATTTTTTTTTTTTTTAATTTTTAAATGCGGAATTTTTTTATTCAATTTTTTTTAATATTAATTTAATTGCTAGGAAATTATAAAAAACATTTTTTATGTTTATTAAGTATAAAAATTAAATTAGCCGATATTTTTTAAGTGTTTTTTATTGAAAAAATTTTTATAATTGATGAAAAAAAAAATTTAAAAATTGTTTAAATAAAATAACTTTATTTTTTCAGCTTTTTTTTAGAAAAAAATATGCTATCATTTTTTCTTAGGATAATGAAACAAAAATGTGGTAGTTATGTCTGTGTTCAACTTCTTCAAACGCTCAATATATTATTTGAAAATATAAGAAATGAAACATCTCTGTGTAAGATATTTAAAAATAATATTTATAAAAAATTTTTTTTGAGTTAGAATAAACATAAATTTTATTACAGATTATTTATTGAGTAACAATCATGTAAATAGCATAATCGTGCACAAATTTGACTTTAGCGACGAAGAAGTAATGGCTTACTACATAAGTTTTCTAAAGACATTAAGTTTAAAATTGAATGCACATACCATTCATTTTTTTTATAACGAGGTAAACAAGGTATACTTACTTATTTTTTCGTTTTAATTTATAATTTAGTTGGCAGTTTTTAATAAGTAGTTTCAATTTATTTTTTATTATTAATAAAATTTTTATTATTTTAGCATACAAATGACTTTCCATTGTACACCGAAGCCATTAAATTCTTCAACCACTCTGAGGGGATGGTAAGAATAGCTGTACGTACACTGACATTGAATGTGTACCGCGTAGAAGATGCTTCGATGCTCGCTTTTATACGTGACCGCACAGCGGCTCCTTATTTTAGTAATTTAGTTTGGTTTATCGGAAATCATATCATTGAACTTGATACATGTGTTCGAAATGACGCAGAGTAAGTTAATAATTTAATTTTTATTCAATAGTAATAGTAAATAAAATTTTGCTTTATTTAATAATGAATTTTGTTAAATTGCACTGTAATTTTTTAACAATTGACATTTTTACAGATATAAGCTCATCCCGATGTTACACTCATCGAGAGCTTTCGTTTGAGTACCCACATGCATTTTTGATATATTTTTCATATATACATATATATAATATATATAAATATATGAAAAATTGATGTGGGTACTCTAATGAAAGGTCTTGATGAGTGTAACATCGGGATGAGTTTATATCTTAAAAAATGCCAATAGTTCACAAGATATTCATTAAATTGTACTGTATTTTTTTAAATATTAACATTTTTTAAGATATAAACTCATTTTGATATTACACTCATCGAGACCTTTCATTTGAGTACCCACATGGCATTTTTTATATATTTTATATATATGGTATTTGTGAAATATATAAATATATAAAATATATGAAAAATTGATGTGGGTACTCTAATGAAAGGTCTTGATGAGTGTAACATCAGAATGAGCTTATATCTTTAAAAATGTCAATAGTTCTCAAGATACAAGGTCATTTCTTAATTATGTGTCTAGAAATGGAGTATTTTCGAATGCAGTCTAAATTATTTCTCTAATAATTAATTACAGCCATCAAAGTCAAAATAGATTAGCGGATTTGGTAGCAGAACATTTAGACCACTTACATTATTTAAACGACATTCTTTGTCTGAATATCGAGGACTTGAACGCAGTGTTATCAGAGCACTTGCTTCATAAATTACTAGTTCCTTTGTACGTTTACTCGCTGACTAAATCAAAGAATCTATCAAGCCACTCAACCCAAGAAGAACGCAAACATGTCAGCGTGGTCGTATCACTTTTTCTACTGTCTCAAGTATTTTTAATCGTCTCGCACGGACCTCTAGTATGTACCCTAGCGTCAGTGATCCTGAAATCCGACTCTGTGATAATCGAAAACGGAGCAAGTAGAATGTTAGAAGAGTATGATCTCAAGACTGATAAGTCAATAGCTTTTGCACCACCCATTGAAAGCTTGGAGAAGTCATTAGAAAGTTTGAGTGGAATTTCCGAGGCCCAGAGTCCGACTATCGATGTGGTTTCATCCAATGATTCGCCACCATTGAGTTGTACGAGTGAAGAACTTCCAGAGTCGTCGGATTCAGATATCGTGAAGCTCGATAATTTGGATGATAAAATAAAGCATCTGAATGTTACGGATGAAGAAAAGGAGAGGTTGGCTCTCGAGAGTCCCGTGTCTTCTAAAATTCCAGAAGGATTGTCCAATGGGCCCGTTGTATCTAGACCTTTTCTTGATACTATTCTCAGCTCGTTGCAATGTACAGAAAATGACTACGCGGCGCTTTTTGGACTTTGTTTACTTTACGCTCTTATCAGTAATGAGGTAACAATTATTTTTTTTTTTTTTTATAATTTATTTAAGAATTATATGTAAAATATTTTTTTTACAGAGTGTTAATGATGAAACGCTTGATTTTTTGTTAAGTCGTCGACAAAAAGAAATGTCTAATAGCTGGTATAATGAGACACTAGTAGAAAAATTAATTAATGTTATTTCAATGAGTTGCCAAAACAGTAATTTAATAAATATTTATATTTTAAAAAGGATTTTAGTCTAGAGATGTTCATTTTAATAATAAACGTCGCTGGATTAAAATATTTATTGGGTGATTTTTTGAATATTAATATTTATTTTTTATTGATTTATTACAGACGCCAAAATACGACTTGTAACGTTGGAGTTGTGTGTTAAATTATTATTGAAAATCGTTATGTCTGATGGACAAAGTTTGTTATGTGATGCACATTTAGCAGCAATTGAATCTGCAAGAGAGCAGAGTACTGCGTTGTTAAGAAATTTTTATAAAGTAAGTTAAAGTTATTTTTTTAATTTTTAGAAAGAAATAATAATAATAATGACTTCTAAACTTACCAAAAAAATTAATTAGCCTTTTTTTTATTTTTTATCTTTATGACTTTTAGAAATTATTTCTTACCAATTATATTTTGGGTAGCCAAGTAGTTTTGCAAGAATTTAATAATTTTATCGTAAGAATAAAATAAAATTTCAAAACTAAAAAATCAATATTTCAATTTTTATTCATAAAAATTTTATTTGAAACTGTAATTTTTAACTTTTTTGTTTGGAACTCTTTTTATTACAAAAACTTATTAAAATAATCATTTTCTTAATTAATGTTTTGAATCAAAAAATTAATTTTTTTTTTTACTTTTCAAAATTATTTCTTTGCGAATGGGAATTTGGGTTCCCAAGATTTTTTAGATTCGTCTCTAACAGTGCTTTCAGTATGATCTACCCAGCGGTGAGACTGCCTCCCCGGTTTATTAATGCGATAATCATCAACATCATGTTCCTCGTGATCTATTTTCAACTCATGCTGACTGCCGACCTCATGATAGCGTTCTTTTTTATCGTGGTTTGTCCGTTGCATTCTCCAAGTCTCATCTTCGTAATTTTGAGTTGATTTTTTTTCATCATTCGTTCGTACCCACCGTTTCATTTGATCCTCTGGAGGTCGACGTGACTCTGACGAACAAGAAACCGCGGGCTTTACGACAAGTAAAACCGCGAGAACTGCCGCGGAAATCTGTGAAAATTTTAACCGTATAACTTGGATTATTTCCTGGAGAAATTTTAAATTATAATTGATACTTACCAGAAACGCGGAGGTCAGCTTCATCTTGCGAACAATTTTTGATACTGATATCGAGGGAGGATTCGCCGGATTTTTATACTTTAGATAATTCTAATGAGGGATCAAAAGAAGGGATGGTGATGTCAGTTCAATAAATTTAAGATTTTGTTTTTTAATAATAGTTTTTTAGATCACCTGCGTCGTACTGAGTTTTATCGAAATTATTATCAATACTTTAGATATCTTTTAACAAGGAATTTAATTAAAAAATACAGTAATTAATTGGTATCTGCTTAATTAAAGTCAAAAACTCGGACAGTAGCAAGTAATTAGTCGACAAAATACTTTATTAATTTAACTGGCTTTTAATTAATCTATTAAATTAATAATGATGATTATTATTTTTGGAAAAATTTTTAATTTTGCTTAATTAAATATTGACGTTTTTTAAGATATAAGCTCATCCCGGTGTTACACTCATCAAGAGCTTTCATTTGAGTACCCACATGCATTTTTGATATATTTTTCATATATACATATATATATATATATATATATTAAATATATAAAATATATGAAAAATTGATGTGGGTACTCAAATGAAAGATCTCGATGAGTGTAATGCGGAGGTGAGCTTATATCTTTAAAAATTTGAATAATTTATGAGATATTCGTTAAATTGCACCGTACTTTCTTAACTATTGACCTTTTCAAAGATATAAGCTCACATCAATGTTATACTCATCAAGAGCTTTCATTTGAGTACCAACATGGATTTTTGATATATTTTTCATATATACATATATATATATAATATACATAAATATATAAAATATATGAAAAATTGATGTGGGTACTCAAATGAAAGGTCTTGATGAGTGTTATATCGGGATGAGCTTATATCTTCAAAAATGTCAATAGTTTTCAAACTACAAGGTCATTTTTTTATTTTATGATATATCTAGAGTAGAACGAAATAAAACCTTGAAAAGGCAGAAATTCAAGTCAAGACCTTTGCAATGATTCTAAATTTGACTAAAAATAATAATATAGATAATAATAATAATAATAATAATCTTAAAATTTATTTAGAAATAATTAAAAATTACTCATGTAATTATTATATTTTACAGAGTGAAGATATCTTTTTGGATATGTTTGAAGATGAATACGTTGAAGTGCAAAAAAAACCATTGAACGTTGAATGGTTGATGATGGACAGTAATATTTTATTGCCACCAACTGGTACTCCAATGACTGGGATTGAGTTCACGAAGCGACTACCTTGCGGCGAGGTAGTAATTTTTCTAAATAAATAACTCTAGCAAATAAAGAATACCACTAATATAACATGATATTTATCTTTTGAAATAGGTCGAGAGAGCTCGCCGAGCAATCCGAGTGTTTTTTATAATCCGCGAACTGTCATTGACACTGAATAAAGAGACAGAAACACAATTACCACTTACTAACCCGGCGAATTGTGTCCAGGTTAACAACGTTCTTGACCTAAGTAAAAGTTATTCCCGTTTTTATATTTCATTAAACTCGTTTGGGAATTTTAATACCTATAATTTCCTGAACGGTATTCAAAAATATTTATACTTATGAGTATTAAAACTGTTTATTGTTTTACTTTATATTAGATAACAGTGATTTGATCGCTTGCACAGTGGTCTGGAAAGACGGACAAAAGATAAGACGGTTTTTGGTAATTGATGTTATTCAATTGATTCTTGTGGAACCTGATACGAGAAAATTAGGATGGGGTGTAGCGAAATTAGTGGGATTTCTTCAGGATATCGAAGTCGCTGGCGACAAAGATGATTCTAGGTGTCTTCATTTGACGATTCATAAACCAAGCAGTAGTTCTACCAACAAGCTACCTCTTCTTTCGGCAAAGTTTATTTTTGATGATCATATTCGATGTATGGCTGCGAAACAAAGGTATTGAATTTATTTAATTAAATTAATTAATATAATTTGATAAAAAATTATAATTTTGGTGTATTAAATATTTAATTTTGGTAAATTGCACTGTACTTTCTTAACTATTGACATTTTTTAAGATATAAGCTCATCCCGATGTTACACTCATCGAGAGCTTTCATTTGAGTACCCACATGCATTTTTTATATATTTTTCATATATACATATATATAATATATATGAATATATGAAAAATTGATGTGGGTATTCAAATGAAAGGTATCGGTGAGTGTAACATCGGGATGAGCTTATATCTTTAAAAATCTCAATATTTCATAAGATATCTAATAAATTGCTCTATACTTTCTTAAATATTGACCTTTTTAAAGATATAAGCTCATCCCGATGTTACACTCATCAAGAGCTTTCATTTGAGTACCCCCATGCATTTTTTATATATTTTTCATATATACATATATATAAATATATAAAATATATGAAAAATTGCCATGTGGGTACTCAAATGAAAGGTCTCGATCAGTGTAACACCGGGATGAGCTTATTTCTTTAAAAATGCCAATAGTTCACAAGATACAAGATCATTTCTTAATTACTGACATTTTTAAAGATATAAGCTCATTCCGATGTTACACACATCGAGACCTTTTATTTGAGTACCCACAAGGTATTTTTTATATATTTTATATATATAGTATTTGTGGAATATATAAATATATAAAATATATGAAAAATTGATGTGGGTACTCAAATGAAAGGTCTTGATGAGTGTAATGTCAGGGTGAGCTTATATCTTTAAAAATGCCAATAGTTCTCAAGATAAATGTCATTCCTTAATTATGTATCTAGAGATAAAGCATTTTCAAATGCAGTCTAAATACTTATCAATACTTATTAAATAAATATTTAATTAATTCAAAGTATTTAATATCTAAAAATTAACACTAGAAAAGAAAAATAATTTTTTATAAAATTATTCAATATTGAAAAAAATTTTTTTTTATATCCAGATTAAGCAAAGGACGCATCAAAGCACGTCAAAAGAAGATGAGTCAAATAGCCCGGCTTTTGGACATTCCAACAAACCTCCCAAGCTGTTCAACTCCCCCAAATTACGCTCTATTTGGTATTCGTAATGAACGTAATTAATTACACTAACTCATATAACTTATAAAAAAACTACCAATCCGAATTAAAATAATATTTTTTGTAATAATTTTATATTTTCTTTTTTAGGAATGGCTGGAAGAGGTCAGCGACCTAAGGATCAACCACGACCAATGTTTATGGTTAACAAAGTGCCAGGATTTGCTGCGCAAATGCGCAAAGAAACGCCGAGAGCTCGGCGTGAAGATGCCAGCCCGAGTGGAAGGTCTCAAGACAGTAGTTTGAGGTCTCGTGACAGCTCCCCAAAGATGCCGAGACCTCGCAGCGAAGAGATTCCCCTAGAAGATATGCGGCTGAGAAAATCCTCGCTGACTGTCAACGGGTCCGCTAGTTCCTCTGATAGGGACGAAATACCTGTGTTAAATTTATCAATTAATAGCGAATCAGCTGTGATGAATAAACATTCTGAAGAAACTTCGTTCACTTCACCGCAAAGTCAACAAATTAAAAAAAGTCGTCGGAAAGGTCAAGTAGAGACTGTGTAAATGCTTAAAATTAATAAATACAATCTATAATTTTCATTTTGAACCGATTTTAAAGGTGTTGTATTATTTTTTTTAATCAAAAAAATTAACTCCAAAAAAAATAATTTGTAATTATTTACAAATAGAGCCCGCTCTATTTTTGGCCATATTTAGGTGACATTTTTTTTTACTATTGACATTTTTTAAGATATAAGCTCATCCCGATGTTACACTCATCAAAAGCTTTTATTTAAGTACCCACATTAATTTTTCATATATTTTATATATTTATATATTTTATATATATGTATGTATGAAAAATATATCAAAAGTGCATGTGGGTACTCAAATGAAAGGTCTTGATGAGTGTAACATCGGGATGAGCTTATATCTTTAAAAAGGTCAGTAGGTAAGAAAGTACAGTGCAATTTAACGAATATCTTGTAATCTATTGACATTTTTAAAGATATAAGTTCATCCCGATGTTACACTCTTCGAGACCTTTCATTTGAATACCCACATCAATTTTTCATATATTTGATATATATATGTGTATATATGAAAAATATATGAAAATGCATGTGGGTACTCAAATGAAAGGTCTCGATGTGTGTAACATCGGGATGAGCTTATATCTTTAAAAAGGTCAATAGATAAGAAAGTACAGTGCAATTTAACAAAAGCTATTATTTAATAAAGCAAAAATTTAATTTTATATAGTTCACAAGTCCCGGCAGTCACATAGTCACTGCAAGGTTGCTAATTACCAAATAATTGAGTTTTTAAATAATTAAATTTGAAGATAAATTATGAATAATAATTTTAATATCATAATAATGATAGCATACATAAATGTTAATACGAATATCTCGAAAAAGTTTGCATAGTAATAATAACAATGAGAATAATAATTATAATAATAAAAATGCAAGTGCTCTTTAGTCGAAAGATATTAATTCAGCGGTATTATCATCATTCTTTTTAATGTCATTCTGGCGCGGTTCTGTTTGTGCTGATGGAACTGTAGAGACAACCGAGGCTGAATATTGAATAGGTTGCGATGGAATTTGGGTTTGAGAAATCTGCGGAGAAGCGCCGTTGGTACCACCACCACCGCCACCACCGCCACCAGGCATTTGAATTGATCCAGGAGCTTGTGACGGTGGAATATTACTACCCACTGTGACATGCTGAGGCATCTGTTGCGGAATTCCTTGAGGTATTTGGGCACTACCCGGCGCTTGAGGAATTCCCATGTGTCCCGGAGGGCCGTGCATCCCAGTTTGACTCGGCCCAATTTGAGAAGCACCCGCTGGAGGCACTGCTTGAGAAATGTCACCTGACTGAGGGCCAATGCGAGGTGGCATGTGTCCTGCTGATGGTCCGTGTTGACCTGGGAGTGTCATCGGGTGAGATCCAGCTCCAGGGATTTGTGTCATCGATGGTACATTTGTCATTGGCATCTATTATTAGTAAAATAAATTAATATTGTGATAAGTATTTAAGAGCCATTCGAAAATACTCTATCTATAGATACATAATTAAGAAATGACTTTGTATCTTGTGAACTATTGACATTTTTAAGGATATAAGCTCATCCCGATGTTACTTTCATCAAGACCTTTTATTTGAGTACCCACATCAATTTCTCATATATTTTATATATTTATATATTTTACAAATATCATATTTATAAAATATATAAAAAATACCATGTGGGTACTCAAATGAAAGGTCTCGATTAGTGTAACATCGGGATGAGCTTGTATCTTCAAAAATGTCAATAATTAAGAAATGATCTTTTATCTTGTGAAATATTGACATTTTTTAAGATATAAGCTCATCCTGATGTTACACTCATCGAGACCTTTCATTTGAGTACCCACATCAATTTTTCATATATTTATATATATTATATATTATATATTATATATATGTATATATGAAAAATATATGAAAATGCATGTGGGTACTCAAATGAAAGCTCTTGATGAGTGTAACCTCAGGATGAGCTTATATCCTAAAAAAAGTCAATAGTTAAAAAAGTACAGTGCAATTTAACAAGAGTCATGATTTAATAAACCAAAATTTTAATTTTTTATATTTCACAAGTCACGGAAGTCACATAGTGACTGCAAGGTTACTAGTAATAATAATAATAATAATAATAATAATAATAATAATAATAATAATATATGATTAATTAAGTAATAAAATTTCCAGTAATTTACCATTCCAGGTTGCGATGCAGGAGCCATATTTTCTCTCTGTTGAATCATAGATTCATTGGGACCAGATTGCGGTTGATCTTGAGTAGCCGGCATATTAGCCATCAAATGAGGAGGAAGAGATCCCATTTGCGCCATTGAATAATTAGGCATCGGATACGGGCCCATAGACGTGGGACCATATGAATAAACGCCTTGGCTCGTCGGAGACATTGGGTTGTAATTAGTACCCGGAACTTGATACTGTACATGACGAATCGGTGATCCTTGAGACGGTCCCATATAATTAGGAACCGTTTGATACCCACCTAAAAAATATTTTAATAAATATAATTAATTTTTAAAAACTCAACTTATTAAAAAAAAAAAAATTACCCATCATATATTGTTGCTTCTGCTGCTCTTGTCTCATCTGAAGCTCTCGCTCTCGTTCCTGGATCTTCTGCAAGGCGAGCTGTCGCTGATAATTCAAATACTCTTGCTTTTTCTTCCTCATGATGTCCAGCTTCATGGCCATTTGCATCTGCTTCTGTCTTTCAGCTTCTTCAGCTTCACGACGCAACTTATTGCGATGTTCCTCTCGTAAATCATCCAGAGCAGCTCTTGCGTCTTTCACTTGCGCTAGCTTGTCTTGCAGACCTTCATAGTAGACCCGCGTGTCATCGTGCTCCTGAATGTACTTCAGCAGTCGAGAATGCATAGCGGTGATATTCATAAATAAAGTCTGGAAGAAGCTATCATTGACGATCGACCTGCCACGCGATGAATTACTCTTCATTCTGTTGACAAATATTTCGACCTGTGATCGCAAGTTGCTGACAAACTCGTCCAAGTGCACGTCGATGTCGCCATTCTGCTGCTTGGCTACGACAATCCGCTGGGGCATCGGACTACCGATATTTGGAGCAGATGGACTTGTTACATCAGCACGTGAACCTCCAGTTTGCTCTTCATTCACTATTTGTCTTTGTTCCCAGTACTTTCGATTGAGGTACTTGGCCAACTCTGGGTCGGTTTCTTCCTCGTGAATTTTTGAAGGACTCGGACCCTAAAAAATATAATTAATAAATATTTTAGTTCTCGTCCATATTAAAAATATTTAAATAACTTAATCTTGAGAATTTGGACAATATCTTTATTTATTGTCCAAATTCCCGAGATTAAGTTATTTAAATAATTAATTTTAAATAAATTATGATACTAAAGTTAGCCGACGTTTTTAATTTTTTGATTTGTTTTTAATAATTAAATTAGAACAAAAAAAATATTTTTTAAAAATTGCACTTACAGTTTTTCAAATTTTTAACAAATGACAATTTTTTTTTCTTTTTTTTTTTTGTAGTCATTTTTTCAATAAAAAAAATTCTAAAAATTTTTAGATGTCGGCTAACTTAATTTCCATCTTCCGTATTATAATAAATCAATAAATTAATTTTTTATATAAAAAAAAAAAAATAAATAAAACTAACTGGTGACGGTGGAGGGGAGTAAGTTGCCCGAGATATTGTAGAATTATTTTTGTATGCATTTGTAACGCGTTTTTTATCTTTTTCCTTTTGTTCAGCTTCACTTTGACTTAATGCCAAGGCTAACTGCAATTCTTCTTCTTCACGCAATTCTTCTTCTGACTTCCGTGGTGGTACCTTTAAAAAAAATTAATAAAGAAAAATTAATCTGAGAATTTTATTTGGCAGTCATCTGACTCACTCGCGACTCTGTCATTTTTTTTTTTTTACTAATTTAATAAAGAAGTTATGATGGAAAAAAATCAATCAAGATAATAAGTCGTAATATGATATTTAAAATAATAACAATATCTTACTTGTTGCTGCTGAGCAAGTGAACTGCTCAAATACTCGACGGGCAAATCAGTTTCTTTCGTGGAAGCACTGCTGGGTTTATTGATCACAATGTAACAAGCATCACAAACTCTTACTTCTTTTTCAATGCCAAATTTCGGCAACGTCGATGTTTTACTAGAACATTGACCGCAAAAAACTTGCCCGCAAGCTCTACAGTGGTGTTTACGTTGTACCATGCCAAAGGCAACGCGACACCGATGGCAAACTTCTCCATCAGCCCACTCGGGTGCTGTATCTGCGCTGAACATTGCATCACTTTCTTTTAGTTCGGGAAATACGTAACCTTCTGCTTTCATTATGTTCATAGTATCCTAAAATTTTTCAATTCAATTAATCAGTATTTTATTTATTAAAATATAAATTATATTTATTGCTAATAAATTTGCAAGTAAGGGATAAATAAATTTACCTTAACAGCAGTATATTTAGGACTATTCCTAAAAGCAAATGCCCAAGCTTGAATTAATCCAAGTATTTTACTTTTAACGTCGTCGTGAATTGTAGTTTTAACAAGTTCTTTCAATTGTTCCATATACTGCTTAGTACCTATTTCATCGTGGATTAAACTTCCACAATTTTTTACACATGACTCTAATACCTATTCAAAAACATCAGACATCAATAAATAATAATGATAATATTGAAATTGAGAAACATCTGATAATTTTTTTAACACGTCATTCAATGTAGCACATATTTAATAATTTTAAAAATTTTATAACAAATAAATTATGGCAAAAAAAAATAAGAAAAAAAATTGACATCTAGAAATTTAAAAAAAGACCATTCGGCAGTCGAAATGGAAGTAGATTTTATCATAAATAGAAAAAAATAATGGATTTCTAGTAAATCGGCGATTAAAACCTTATTTCACCCTAACTCGTTATTTGTTTACAATACTGCTGGTGTACAGTAAAGAAAAAAAAAAAAAACAAAAAAAACGAGTGCAATGGCAAATTTCATAATTGGCATAGCGGAATAGGACATAATTTTGGAACTACACATATGATATGGTACTCAAATTGAAGTTTATTTAAAGAGCTTTCAGATGCAATTTACAGAAATTCGATAAATTATCCCATTCAAAAGTTATTGAAGGGGACGAAAATGGAGAAATGTTAATTTTTATGATTTTGAAAATTTTGAAATCATGGCATTTCTAAATTACTTGACCGATTAAGCTCATCTTCGAACTTGACCTCGGTATCTATCTGTAGAATAAGTATGTTGAGTTTGATTGTAAATTGGCGACGCTATCGTGGTGACAAGCCGCGTTATATCGTATATATACATATATAAACTTTTGAACCATATGTATTTTCTGACTCAGCTCGTCGAGTTATGTCGGAATATAGCAAAATTTTTCAAAAGTTTTGTCATGAGGACCATTGCAATAGTTAGATTTCTATGAAATCTACTAAAAAGTAAAAAATGCAATTTTTTTAAAATAATTTTTTAGAACAATTCTTCTTGTTAAATAATATTAAAAAATTGTCAAGTGACAGCTAACTTGAAATTCCATCTTTAAAAGGTTTAAAAAATTATAAATGTAATTTTTTAGACCTACTTAGTTTATTGTTAAAGAAAAATAAAAAAATTGATTGATAAAATAAATCAAAATAACTTACAAGAAGACCAAAGAGAGATACGTGAGGATTAGAGTTGGTGATCTTTTTTTTTATCGCCGCAAGAGCTGGTTTTGGCCTAAAAAAATCAAATATGCGCATTAATAAAATACTAATAATGTCATAATAATAATAATAATAATAAACAATAAATAAATTAATAAAATAATATACTGTATATCTCCTTGACGTATAAGATCACAAATCTGCAAAATCGTCGGCCAGTCAGGGTCGAGATGCAAATGGCTTGTAGCTTTATCTAAAAAAATAAAATTACGTTGTTATAAAGCAGACATTGCAAGCGTGAATTTAATGAGCTATGGATAACAGTAAAAAGTAAATGAAGGTTACTCACCGAGTAATTGGTAGAAATTTGGTGATCTCTGAAACATCCTACAACACACACGTTGATTCACTAGTCCAATAATATAAATATTTTTTACCAATATTATTTCAGGTTAATTGTTCTTTGACACCTGATAATTGTCACGTGAATCATCCACTATTTTTTATGCTTATGATTTCATACACTGATGTATTTCATACGCAAATGTACGTATATTATATCAATTTATAAAAACGCCTTTGTATTTGTTACAAGTCACTGATTGAATGTCATTAACCACGTACTTGCCTGTGTAAGTAACGGATGTAATGGTATTTTTTTCAGTACGTCACTTCCAGCTGCTCCCGATAAAAACGCGCGCAGTTTAAATTTACAAGAAATTTTTTTTTTCTTCTTACAAAAATTTTACCCAAACTCTGTAACAAAAATTTTAATTAAACTCAAAAATAATTATTGCATAAAATTAAAATAAATTTACTTACTTAAATTTTTACAATCTCCAAATTATTTATATTTTTTTTTACCAATTAAAAATACAAAAAAGTCCAAATGTTTTTTTTTCAATTTAGAGTTGACAGATAATTTTTTAATTTTGAGGTTAAGATTTTCATTTTTTTTTTTTTTTTTTTTTTTTTTTTTTTTTTTAATTAAAATTAAACGCTCAAAAATGTCAATGCGTAAGTTTTTATAAATTTATAATTTTTAAATAAGAATTATATTTATTTTTTTATATTTTTCTTCTTTTAATGAAGCGAGTCAAAAGACATTATCAAAAACGTCAAAATTATCAATCCAGCGTGGATTGTCACAGACATCAGCAAACAAATCACGTCCTGGCAGTTTATTGTCATTAGGAATCCATCGAGGCAGCGTTGCATTCAGAATTGGCAAAGCCGGCTTCAAGGTATTTTTATTATAAGTAACTTTCACAAGTTTACTTACTTACTTACTTACTTATTTTTATATCTTCTTTTTAAAAATAATAACCTAATAAATGATACATGAAGAAATTAGTGTCATACAATTTATCATTATTATAAAAATATAAAAATTAAGTTAGCTGACATCTAAAAACTTTTTTTTTTTTTTGAAAAAATTATTACAAACAAAAAAAAATGTAATTTGTAAAAAACTTGAAAAATTATAATGAGAATCAATTTAGCAGATATTTAATCATTTTTTTAACAAAAAATTGACATATAGAAATTAAAAAATTATAAATGCAATTTTTTAAAAATATTTTTAGCTCTAATTTAGTAAATAAAAAAGTAAAAAAATAAAAAACAGCTGACTTTAGTATTATCACTGTTATTAATAATTCTTAATTCATAAACACATAAACGATTACCGATAACTCAATTTAACAGGTTCCGAGATACCAAAATACTTATCAACTAGAGTCAACGAATCCATTCTCGCACAACATCGTCGATAAAATATTAAAAAATATTATGACAACAAAGCTCACTGGCGTAACATATAATCCCATTCTTTGTCTTCAGCTGTGTCAAGATATCGCTATACAAGTAAAGAAACAAATTTATAAAGCTGATTTCAGCAGGTAAATTCCTTTATTACCAAACATAATAATAATAATAATTGATTCATTTTTTTTTTTTTTTAATTATCACAAGGTATAAATATATTGTGGTGATCAGTATTATAGAAAAAGCAAGCCAGGGTATCCATACATCAATGGGATTTCTTTGGGATGATCAACGCGACACTTATTCAAAATATGTTTTTGAAAATTCACAATTTTATGCTATTGGAATTGCAGCGGGTGTTTATTATGAATAATTTAAAATAATAAAATTCATTATTTTAAGAAGAAATGAATATAAATAATATCTTCTACAATAATGCTGACATCTGTCAATTTTTTTAGACAAAAATATTACACATTTATAAATAAAAAAAAAAAATTGCAAGTAATAATTTTTATTATTAGTTATTTGTAATAAAAATCAAAAAAAAATTGACAGATGTCAGCTAACTTCAGTATTATATTATAAAAGCATTAGAAGAAATATTTCTTCAAAAATATTTAAGTAAATATTTTTTTTCAATGATCGATAATTAATTTTTTTTATTTACTTAAAAGAAGCGTCTAAGTTTCTATCATCAAGACAGTTTATCACTAATCAAATAGATAAGAAGAAAAAACACACAAAATTTCAGATAATAAAAATTCGCTAACAAAGTGTAAAAGTCAATTACAAATATCGCGCGTAGTTTAAGCGCATGCGCAAATTAGGAGTGAAGAAATAAGAACGCGCATGCGCAGCTGTCAAAAAAACATGGTGGGCGCACACGTATGCGCGATTAAACGTGTGTATTGTTCCCCACGTCTCCGGAAGATATTTCACTCTTTTATGAGTGTCAAAAAAATATTATAAGATAAAGAGCAGATTTATATCATGTCGCCAAGAATTAAATCTTTAATAAAATAAATTTTTTTAACAAACTTGCTGTTAATTATCACCGTGGATTATTGTTTAAACTCTAAATGTGTCGGTATTTAAACAATGAAGTGGAAATATGTATTTTTTTACTAAAATCACAATCGTTAATTTTTGGATTTAATTTACTTTTACTGTTCAATAGCATCCAAGGGTTATGACAAATAGATCCTATTTAATAGCTTTATTATTGACTGATTATTTTTGTTTTATTAAAAAAAGTCAATCATGTCGGAAAAATGCAAGGTATGTACACTCTAATTCAATTGATTTATTATTGATATATGTTGGTAATGAGATTTATTAAAATTGTTTTTACAACCCATCTGGATAATTATTTTTAGAATTAAATTAATTTACACATCATCATTATTGCATTACCTTTTTTATATTATGACATAAATCCAATTACTCTTTGTTGTTGTTATTAATTATTAAATTAATCTACAGGTTGATAATTTCAAGGTTTTTAGAGTTGTTTTAATATATCCATAATATGGATAAATATTTATGATTTGATAAGAATAACAAATAATTTATATTATTTATTATTGTAGTATATAAAAAAAAATTAAAGGTGAAAATAATAATCTGTAATTGAAGTCAAATTTTTTTTTTTTTTTTTTTTTTTTTTTTTAAAGTTTGTTAAGAAGTAAAACTTGTAAAATAGTTTTAAAGTTACAGTAATTGTTGTTTGGACATAATTTAAAGAGTATTTAACTTTTAAATTACTCAAACTGTTACTTTGAGAAATTTATTTAATTTTCATGCTAATTATAATTATGTAATTTATAAATAAGCTGTAATTTGTTTATTTATTTTTATTATTATTGTAGTTGTTGATTTTTAATTTTATTTTTAATTTAGTTTACTAATTGATTGCTTATTACAGGAATGCACTTGTGTAAAATGCACAATAAACGCAAACAGATTCAGCGACGTGCACTTGCACGCGGAAATAGAACAGCTGCGTCAAAAATTAAAGGAAAAAGAAAATTATATTGTGAAAATAGAGACACAGTATTTAAAGGAGGTTGATAAATTTCCTAATGGGAAGCTTGCGTCGATGAAGATAGACCTGAGGCTATCTGAGGAGAAACATGCTCGGCTGATGGAGGCACAGAAGAGGATGCTTAAAGTCAATCAAAACCTTGAAGACAAGCTACTGAAACTTGTTGATAAATGTGAGACTGAGAAGAGTGCCTTTATTAAGGACATTGCAACCCTGTCACATCGTTTAGCTGATGCTAATTTGACGATCCATAGCTTATCTCAAGACAATGTAATTTTATTTTATTTTTTTTATTTTTATAGATAGATTATTTAAATTTTTATTTATTTCAGGCGAGATATAGAGCTGACATGAACTTGGCTATTCAATCGCTACAGTGCAAGCCATCCAATTTTGTCGGACAGAAATATGACTCTGTAAGTTTAATTTGTTTTTTAATATATAATTATATAAATGATCATTATCAATTTCTCCAGCGAAATTTAATCAATAATTTTATAGAGTTTAAAATTTAAAGAAAGTATGAATTTTAATTATGAAATAATTACTTTTTTTAAATTGCACTGTACTTTCTTAAATATTGACATTTTTAAAGATATAAGCTCATCCCGATGTTACACTCATCAAGAGCTTTTATTTGAGTACTCACATGCATTTTTGATATATTTTTCATATATTTATATATATACATATATAAATATATGAAAAATTGATGTGGGTACTCAAATGAAAGGTCTCAATGAGTGTAACATCGGGATGAGCTTATATCTGTAAAAATGTCAATAATTAAGAACTGACATTGCTATCTTGTTAACTAATGACATTTTTAAAGATATAAGCTCATCCCGATGTTGCACTCATCGAGACCTTTCATTTGAGTACCCACATGACATTTTTTATATATTTTATATATATGGTATTTGTGAAATATATAAATATATAAAATATATGAAAAAGTGATGTGGCTACTCAAATGAAAGGTCTCGATAAGTGTAACATCGGGATGAGCTTATATCTTTAAAAAGGGACAAATTCAAGTCAAGACTTTTGCAATGACACTAAATTTCACTAAAAAAACCGATTTTATCATATAACTATCTTGAAAACAAAATTTTTCTCATTTTCTTAATAATATAGATTATTATTATTATTATTATACTTTAGGTATTAAAATTCATGTCATAATTGTCGTAATTTACGGAATTAGGAAAACCTCTATTTTGTAGAGATTTTAAGTAATTGGCTCTAAATTCTAATTACGCTCATAAACGATTTATTGTACTTTCAACTATGATAGTTTGGTAACTCTGAATAATCTTGCTGAACCTTTGTGTAAATGAAGCTCAACTCTGTGTGATTAATTGCAGAATAAAACTTTTATTTCAAAACACACAGTTTTATATATCGAGCGAAAAAGTATTGGATAATTCAATATTCAGCGGTTGTTACCGAATTTTAACACGAAATTTGTTTTGTTTTCCAACAAAACGTCAATAAAACTCTAAAATTGAATTATAGAACCTAAAAAATTTATAAATCTCAGTCAAGAGCAGTTCAAATTTAAGCATTTTAATAAAAACTGAAGTACATTGAAATACTCATAAAGTATGTCTCTGTACATTGATTTTATTTAATCAAATTATAAATCACTAATTTAAATTTCTATTTAATTATGTAAACAATTACCAAAATATTTTTAATTTAATTAAAATAACTCGATTTTCATTAATTGAAGTATCAGCATTAATTAAAATCAATATAATAATTTTATTTCAGCTACCCATAGAAGTGCAGTCGAGAGTAAAGCATTACATGAGTCAAAAGCGTCGTTCGAGTGATCAGTCACAATCGGATGTGAAGAGCATTACCGTGCCAATATCAACATTTCCCCCGACGGCGATGGTGTATAACATCACCAAAACAAACCCAGACAAGCACAGCGATGACGAGAGCGACGACGGCAAACCGCAAATAGACGTTGTCTCAGCTGCAATTATGGCCAAAGTCTTGGAGGATCGGGAGCGAGAACGTATCCTCGCAAAACATTGTTCCACGTGTGTTTGTCATAAATCTATTTTAATTGTCGATTCGCACACACAAACATCCCCCGATGATATTATTTGCAACATGCAAACTAGTCCAAATAACAATAGTAATAATAATAATAATCGTAATAATAATAATAATAACAACAACAACAACAATAATAATAACAATAATAATAATAATAATAATAATAATTATGATTATGATTTATGCAGAAGTGATGATACAAAATGTCAAACTTTAAACGCTAATAAAACGGGCGTATGCACAAAAATAAATCAAGACTCGCCATCAAAAATGAAAATTGAACGTCAATCGTTTAAAATAAAACAAAATAACAAGCCCAAGAGGATAGAAATTCCGGTTGACAATATAGTAATACCTAAATCACAGGGTCAAGTTAATCCAGTTGATATAATCAACGAGCGTATATGGAAAAATAATTGGACCAAATCGAAATTGAATTCTCCTCAATTAGAATCTACAAATGTACTCTTAAATTCAAATAGTAAGAGTGACATTCATTTGGATGTTATTAATGAACGAATTTGGAAAACAGAACCTCGTAATAATAATAATAATAATAATAATAATAATAATAATAATAATATTAATAATAATAATATTAATAGTCATAATAATCACAGCAATCAAGTGACTGTAATTGAAGTATCAAATGAAGAAAGCGCTAATCAAACCCCGGATTTTGCAGCAAGCCCGAGTTTCAGCAACGACAGTGTCCTGATGTCCAGCTCTGAGCCCTCCAGCAGCTCGAGTGACCTGGTCCAGATAAACAACGAGAAGCGGCGATTACTCAACCCGGTAAGTAAAGGTGATCGGGTTATTGGCCCGAGGAACTGTTTGATGCGTGTCAGTCGCGAGGGGTCAAAAAATATTTTACTAGACAATGCTGGACAATATCAAACAGTGCTCTACACGAGCTCGGGAAGCGGCAGTGGAAGTGCCAATCAAACAAATACTGCTCTTGTACACAATCTCGCAAAGTCAACACGCTCTGGGAGATCTCTGTCGACCAGCAGCGAAGAGGCTCTTCCTATTTTGTCGAACGACGCTACGCAATTACAGAGGGTCGCTGAGTGGGTTCAGTCCTCTGTTGGAGTTACTAAAATTCCTCATACAAGAAATGGTAATAATAATAGTATTAATAATAATGTTATTTTAAATAATAATAATAATATTAATGGTAGTAATATTAATAATAATACTAATACTGGTATTAAGCCAAGCACATCCAGTAATTCAACACAGCCACAAAGTATAAAAAGCACAAAATCATCTTGTATTATTGAGATACCAAATATTGATGAAAATAATGAAAGTGTTTCTGGTAAAAAAGGGATTGCTAATGAATTAGTTGTAAAAACTCATGTGATTGATAAAAAAAATGTGTCTGGTATTAAAAAAAATTTAGAGCATATTGTCAATGAGCAAGTTAAAGATTTGATTTGTTTTGACTCGACAAATGAGGATGATGGTGATGAAGATGAAAGGAGAGGAGGAGGAGGAGGAGGAGTTAAAAGTAGGAGAAGTAGCAATGAAAAAAAAATTGATTGCGAAGTTAAGATTACCAAAGAAATGGAGGAAACTTATTTAAAACTAGCTGCCAGTCTTGATCCGCGTGCGCTCCGTTTGCCTACAAGCGTCAATGCGGATCTGACAATTGAAAAGTATCGCAAAGATCACAAAAAAATAAATATGCAGAAGAGTGATAAGTCGGAAGCCAACACATAACGTCGAGTTATTATAATTATTATTAATACTGCTGTTACTGCTTCTTATTCTTATTCTTCTTCTTGTTCTGCATCATCGACTTGTGATTGCAATTCTGTACAATATTTTATTTCAGAAGCAATTAATCTTTTGCCGTATTTGTTATTAAGTGATAAACAGTAATTAAAGCCCGAAATTCTTAATATTATTTTTAAGTTTTAGCAATTATTAATTATTGTAGAATGATTAGATTTAATAGTTTAAAAATTATATTAAAATGTAATTTTATACAAGATTTTTTACTTTAAATCGTTGTAATTTGTAAACTATTGAACTCTAGATCATTATCATTTTATTAAAAGCGTAAAGTATAATTATAAAGTAATGGAAAAAATAAAAGTATATATTTATAATTGAAATTACCTCAAGAAAAAGTAAAATATTTATAAATACCTGTATAGAAGTCAACTTTCGGGCTTTGATTGCATAAATTAATCAAATATATAAATATATTTATTAAAATTATAAATTATAATTAAGTAGCAAACATAAAAGCTAATTTATGCAAAACCGCTTATAAAAAAATAAAATTATTCGGCCTATAAAATCGAAAATTTTCTCTCATTAAATACGTGATATTATGCATCTTTAGTTTGACTTTTAAAAATAAATAAATGCACACATCCTTCATCAATAAACTAAATCGAGAGAAAATATTTATGCTAAGAAGTTATTAAAAAAAAAAAAAACAAATTTATTTATTTGTTCAACAAATTGAATTTTTTATTTTTTCAAATTTCTAAATGTCCATTTTTTTTTTGACAATTTATTTATTACAAAAATTTTTTAACATCTGCTAAATTAATTTCTGTAAGTGAGCGATCACTTCACCATTTTTTCATTTTTTGAACAAACAAATTTGTTAAAAAAAAAAAAATTTTTTTTAATTTGTTCAAAATAATAATTTTAAAAAAATTGCATTTTTTATTTTTTTAAATTTATAAATTTTTTTTTGACATAGTTTATTTGTTACAAAAATTTTTAAAAATAAATAAATGCACACATCCTACATTATGAACTAAATTGAGAGAAAATATTTATGCTGAGAAGTTATTAAAAAAAAAAAAAAAACAAATTTGTTTCGCCGGAAGTTTAATAAGTACCGCTGTTGCTATAATAAATAAAAAAAATGATAAAATAAAATCTGGAAGAAAATCAATATTTAAAAAACATTGTATGAGAATTATTATCCAGTAAAATGAATATTAAATAAACTCATGTAGTTTGTATGCTAATATAAACATTATGACAATACCATGGTTGATTATAAGCTACCCTTATTATTTTTATTATTATTATTATTATTATTATTATTATTATTATTATTATTATTATTATTGTTACGGTTCAAGCTTAAGTGTTGCTCGATTATACTGGGATCATTAGGCAGTATTACTATTACTATTATATATTACCGCAACACACAAAACACAATTGATAGCTTGAAAAAAGTGTGACTATTTCGATGCCAAAGGCCGCGACATCGGTCTCTAGTTTATAATTACCTCTTACTCGGTTAGAAGTATTTTAATTAATTACACTAGTTGATAATTTTTTTTTGTTTTTTTTCTAAGCTAATTTTAAAAATGTTTCAATGTATTTTTTTTTCTGCTGGAAAATATTTGTTAAATAACCCGATATCTGTATATACGGAAGTTAATGGAATAAATATATTTGAGCATGCTCTAATTATTTGTTACACATTATTTTATATGATTGTAGATAAATAATACAAGGATTACTTTTTTATTGTTTTACAAAGTAGTGAGTGATTATGTCATGTGTTTAATATTTATTTTTTTTTGCAATAGAGAAAAAAATTATCCTTTGTTTTTTTTTATAAGATATGACTCAATTTTTTTTTTACAAGTAAATTTAAAAAAATAATCCTTTTATTTTTTTTTATAAAAAAATTTTTTTTTATGATTCAACAAGAAAATTTATTTTAAAATACCCAAATTTAATGTGAGAAAAAAAAGTCCGAGTGAAAGTTTTAAATATTCTAACAATAAGTAAAAGTAATAAAAGAAACCTTTGATACTTAAGTACTACTTTTTTACATTAAAAATAAATAATAAAACCGTAAATCTATTGATTTTAAAATCAAGATCAAAAGAATTTTCACGCTTAAGTGAAAGTGTCAAAAATGGTAATTTCATTTGAGTATTTCTAAATAAATTTTTCTAACAATAGTTACAATAAAAAAGAAATTTTTTTATCATTAATAATTCTTTCACAATAATTGATAATTAACAAAATGCATGGAATTAACAATTAAATTTCATGTTGGAATATTTTAAAATAAATTTTTGTAATAACAAATGAAGATATATAATCTATATTATTAAGAAAATAAGAAAAATTTTCTGTTCAGGATAGTTATATGATAAAATCGGTTTTTTTAGTGAAATTTAGTGTCATTACAAAGGTCTTGATTCGAAAATATTCTACCTCTAGATATATAATTAGGTAATGACCTTGTATCTTGAGAACTATTGACATTTTTAAAGATATAAGCTCACCCTGACATTACACTCATCGAGACCTTTCATTTGAGTACTCACATCAATTTTTCATATATTTTATATATTTCGATATATATAGATATAAATATATAAAATATAAAAAATTGATGTGGGTACTCAAATGAAAGCTCTTGATAAGTGTAACATCAGGATGAGCTTATATCTTAAAAAACATCAATATTTAAGAAATTACAGTGCAATTTAA